ATTAAATATTAAAGGGTGTCTTTTACATGGTAAAATTACACTACTGTCTTATGGTATGTATGTAAATTCTTTTAAACTAGGTGTATTCATAAGCACATATCCTAAGTCCGAAGCATGTTGATTAGTGGTTGTCTTTTTTTGGTGCAGTTCATATTTGCTTTTTGTTTCTGGTTTGAAGTTAAATTAGATCTGTTTGTTTTTTTTCCTGTTTAAATTGTTTTATAACAGTGTTTTGGGGTCCTCGGTAGGATGCTGTCCAATGTGAGCCAAGCTTTTGTGTTGAAGGCTGAATTATAACCTATAATTGCTAATTTTGACTACACTGTGTTTTGATGGAGAGTTGTCTTCCTACCACATTTAAAAAGATATTCCCTGACATTTGACAAATCCATTAGAATAATCGAGATATTGAAATTGAACTGAAGTTGCCTAGTAGGTTTCTTACATTGACCCGGCTATCCTTTTTCTCTCTTGCTGGATAGTTTTATACTGGTCATTTGGGGGCACTGTGTAGCCTACTGATCAGTCATGAGATGGCTCAAAATCTTCTTACACTATTTTACATTTTCGTACTTAATATATTAAAACCGAAAATTCATCATCTGATCGTCTTTATGAAATAATAATTATTCATTTTTATTTTGACGAACATTTTGAAGAGCATTAATTACTACAGGCCGAACATATAGTTAGATAATCTGTTCCCTGACCAAGATAACTATAAATAGAAATTAATTTTTCTTATCTCTGCCTGCATCTGTCATCACTCGGTGTCTATTAATTAATAGACATTTGATAAGGAAATAACGTTGCAATATTTAAACACAGAAAATTGCAATTTTAAAGAAAATAAAAACTATTCAAGGACGTATATCAATTTAGATTATATACGTCCTTGGTCTATCCTACACGTAAAATTTCAATAAAGTGCAAGAAAGACTTCATTTTAATTTCAGTATTGTCCTTTAGTTAGTCCCACAAGGACGTTGAGGTATGAAAATTATGAAATAGCCTGCTTCGTACATTATGTACATTTTCCCTAGACTCGGAATCTTAAGTGAAATGCTAGTAATACTTCTTTTATAGATTTTAGTTTTAACAAATCTCGTTTCGAATATAAATCGCATGTTTACGTGAAATCTTATCTCATATCTAAACACAGCTGGTTTCAACGTTTGACTCTAATTAGAATAACTACGCGTATATGTAAGGTAAATATTAGCAGCTTGTAATTGCGTGCAAGGAAGTATTCAAATGCTTATTAAAGTAGCTTGCGTCATAATAAATTTCGAATCATATGTAACATATCTCTATAGCAACTTTAAGATGCTAATGATTCAACAGGTCAAATAATAAGCTATTGCGCATGTATATGAAAGGTGGCCATAGAAAGAAACAGATGTATTCCGAATAACATCCGATGTTCCGAAAGACTACGGACATCGTCCAATATATACTGCGTAAACCCTCAGGGGTTTACGCAATAATACAGGTAAGTTTTGGTCGATTGATTTTAATCCAAAATCCTGAATATCATAATATAAACATAAGACTGTAAATTTAATTATTTCTTTCTATTGATTCCATCTGGATGAAGGACACCCAGTGTTTTTATCCAAAACTTCTCCCGATTCTCTCTTTGCCTATTTTGCCATGTACAATCCTGTTCGATCACAAGGATCTTCATGTGATCAAAATCTTTCAGATTGTGATCTGGTAACCTGAAGTGTTGGCTGACAGGAATATACGGTTTTTTTGTGAGGTTACTCCTGTGGCCATTAAGGCGTTTGTGAAATGGCTGCATAGATTCACCAACATATTGGAGACCACATATAGGACACTCAAGAACGTAAATCACGTTTGAGCTTTTGCAGTTGACATTGCAGAAGATCTTGTATGTCTTTTCTGTGGTCTTACTGTGAAATGTTGATGAATGCTGGTTTGGTTGCAACATTTGCAGCGCTTATCCCCACAAGGCTGGCAATTACCTACAGTATGGTTAGGTTTGGAAAGGTCAGTGATCGAACAGGATTGTACATGGCAAAATAGGCAAAGAGAGAATCGGGAGAAGTTTTGGAAAAAAAACACTGGGTGTCCTTCATCCAGATGGAATCAATAGAAAGAAATAATTTAGAATATAGCAAAGTACTCTCGACCAATGAAATTGTAGGATTGGATGCCTCTTAATTGTGAAGAATGAATGTACTAAGTAAATCATGTTCTTAGTAAGGGATTATCCTATTATTTGGGTCTATTTACAGTTCAAAACAAAGAGTTTCTAAATGAGTTACAACTGCCCTGAAGCACATTTATCAGATTGAAAGAATTTATCACAGAGTGATTGAAACTGACTAAAAGTTGAATTGTGAAACAAACAAAAATCTCAAAATAAGTTGAAGTTCACTGATGCAGTAAAATTGGTACCGTGAATGCTATTATGAAAATATTAATAACTTCAAATTACTATAAAATTAAACAATACCAAAGCAATGCAAAAAAAAGGAAAAAAATCTTTCAGATAAAAAATAACCTTAATCTTTAGCTTTCCAAAACTTTGATTACTTGATCAGCGGTTGGGGAGAATAGTTATTTCCAATACATGTATTCCGATAAAAAAAAACAGGAATTTAGTTTTGAACATATTAAAAACTTTGAAGGGCATTATTTTTGAACATTTCCCTGACATAATAAAACAGTATTTGATGTAAAAAGCCGAACCAAATTATTGGCTGTGAAATAAAATTTAGTTGTAACTCAAATGTATTAATTGATTTAAACTGTAAATAAAAAAAGGATAATTCCTCACTAAAATATTACATGATTTACATTCATACTCACCGTGAATCGGGAAACATACAATTCCTACCTTTTCTTTCTACTGTTGTGTCACCTAATATCTATACCGCATTTTTTTAAAAATATTTCCCAAATGATAAGAAAGTCCTCACATCACTAAAACTAATCCATAAATGGCATGCCGAAAAAGGAAGTCATGCATCAATTATAAACATTGCACTGACAATGAAACTAATTGATAGATCATTTGAGCCTTGAGCACTTTACAATATTCTAAGTTTGTAAGAGAATGATAATCCCTTACTTCATGATAAGTACTCGCTAACGCTCGTACTTATTCATGAAGAAAGGGATTATCATTCTCTTACATATACTAAATTTACAGTCTAATGTTTATATTATGATATTCAGGATTTTGGATTAAAATCAATCGACCAAAACTTACCTGTATTATTACTGATCTATGTTTACACCTTATACATTATATATCAGTATTGTTAAAACTTTTAACACTGAGGAAGGCCATTTGTTGAGCCGAAATATTTGCAATTATTGTATAATTTATATCATCTGTTCAGTTTTTCCATCTTTGTGCGATGATATTCAACACTTTTTAGTGTTTTGTTTTCCATCTATTTATCGAAATTGTTACACAATCTTTTAGACTCATATATATATATATATATATATATATATATATATATATATATATATATATATATATATATATATATATATATATATATATAATTTGTTTTTGCATGCACACGTATAAAAATTGCGGTTTTTATCCAACGCAATCATAGGTTTGAACGTTGTTTTCAATTTAGACTTGTTTATATTTTTTCGTTTGGGCTTGTATTATATTTGCCTTCGGGTTTATATGATCCGTTCATCCTAATTTGACTCCTCAAAATTCGAGAGTCTATCCTAAATTGAGGTAAATTACTTGGCCTTCCAAATACTGTTTCGATTCCTAACATCACTGAAGAGACATTAATTGTCGAAATCCGGATATGGTGTACAAAACTCTTTGCACCTTTGTTTGCGGTATACCATCTTTGCCGCAAGTTTATTGTTTTCTGTTTGGTATTAAATTTTTAATTAAGATCCATTTATTACACCTTGTGATCCGTTTATTTGGCAATCGCCAATGGCAGTCAGCAGGGTTTAAGAACATTTGTTGTTCGACCTGTAAGTCAAATGCGTTTTGTTAAAATATACTTTTTCACTTTTTTGGTCTGTTGGAAAATGTTGTTTGTGCTGTATTTAGACCCCTCTAACAAGAAATTTGTTTTTGCATGCACACGTATAAAAATTGCGGTTTTTATCCAACGCAATCATAGGTTTGAACGTTGTTTTCAATTTAGACTTGTATATATATATATATATATATATATATATATATATATATATATTAGAACACATATTAGAACACACCCGCGACATCCGTGACTCAATATAAAGTACATACGCCTTATCAGAGACATATAATACAATTATATGTCTCTGGCCTTATTTATATTCTGGATTTTAATTCTCTTGCACCAAAGATTTGTATACTATTAGTATTCAATTGCGGTTTTACATTTCTGTTATATTTTTAGAACCATTATATTTTATGAAAGAATGTTTATACCCTTTTTGTTTTAGTATTATAATTCTTAATTTTTGATTTTTAAATAAGTAACATTAAAATCAAGGGCTTTTAATACCCGTGTGACACGGGTGCTCCAACAACGGAGGAATTTACTAAGAGAAAAAGAAGACATATTATACTATTAGTATTGGTATCGGATTCGACCCGGAACTTGTTAATCATTGGTAATATTAATTATGTGGAAAACAAAAGGGCCCGAGAATGGTGTAATTTTTAATCACCTTTGTCCTATATTAAGATAAGATACGAATTTTATTAATCTAATCAAGAACCCATAAAGGGCATCATTTACAACAATATTATTGTTTTTATATAAAGTTGAATTCTTTGATTCGTTGTTTTTGTGTCATGCCGGCTAACAAATTGGACCTCGTTATTTTAGTAGTATAGATAAACTTATGAAAAAAACATTCAACCCTTAAATAATGCAATCATACCACATCTCCTTATTTTTATAAGTTAAAAAGATAATTATTTTACTTGTAAATATGTGACCCTCAGACTATATGGGTTTCCTTGTTTTTATATTTTGAAATTTTTTCAGGTTGATTGCCGATTTATGGATTCCAGTATTTACTTTTGCGTTCCATGTGCTTTTGACAATGCAAAAATCTCGGCAAACGTGTGGTGTAGAGAATGCCGAGAAACTTTATGTGACAGTTGTAACAAACAACACAAACGAGTAAATGTTTGTAAAAACCACTATACCATCGCTGTTGATCTCCTTCCTTCCAAAGAAGTTTTGGATTCTATATCTCTGAGCAATCACTGTTCTGAACACACAAATTCCAATGCAGTTTTGTATTGTCTTGACCATGACGAACCTTGCTGTTCTAAATGCTTGGTTCAGGAAAATGAAAAGCATAAAAAGTGTAAAACTGTGTCTATCCAAGACGCCTCGGAAAACGTAAAACGTTCAACCATTCTATCATGTATATCAAATGATATGGAAGATATTCAAAGTACATTATCAAAGTTAAGTTATTTAAATGATTTGAATATAGAAAATATCGATTCAGCTGGTGCAGATGTCATTTCTAAGGTCACAAATTTTAAACAAAATATCATGGCAAAGCTCGATGAATTCGAAAACAAAGTGTTCAAAGATCTGAAGTTGCACCAGAAAGAAATAAAGTCTAAAGTTCTGCATCAAAAAGAAAAGGCAACTATGGTAATGAATTCTGTAGAAAAATGTTCCACTGAATTAGAATTCATAAAGTCCCACGGATCAAACGAACAGATTCTTTTACATTCATTTAAAGTACAGAAAACTGTGAAGACATGTACAGAGGCCTTAGAAGACGTACTATTACAATCAAAGGTCTATAATCTTGACCTTGAAAGATTTCAACACGACCTAGCCGTCTTTGCTGAGCCATCTGTTAGTATTAGTGTTTCACAATCACCATCCACAATAATCCACGAGGCAAGAAACCTTCTGCAAGCACAATTTGTTCCAGTCGTATCCATACAACCAAGACTCGATAAATTTAATCATCAAAATAGCTTTCAGTTGGAAGGATATTTTCAAAGGGATATTGGAATAGCAGTCTCTGAAGATGAACACATCATTCTATTCCATCGTTTGGCAATGCGTATTGTTAAGTACAGTATTACTACTGGGGAGCAAATTGCAAGCTGTCACATGAAGTTTTTAGTAAGTGGAGTTTCTGTTCTTCCAGGGAAGGATGCTGTGATTGTCAGCCTGTCGAACAAAAAAAAAATTTATTTTGTAAATTTGAATACAATGGACCAACAGGAAACAATAATATCTCTACCAGAAATAATCGCTGGTATCCATGCAACTTCAAATAAAATTCTTGCAGGAAGTAACTTTTGTTTATACTTACTAAGCCATAGTGGTCAGATTCTCTCTACATTCGAAGCAACAAATGCCAAATGGTATGCAATTAGACATGTTCGACTTTGTGAAAACGACACTATTCTGTACTCCGATTCAAAGGCAGTATATACTTATTCTTCAGATCAGCAGAACAAATGTATATACAAGTGCACATATACGTTAGCCAGTGCAATAGAGGGCATTGAAACTGACAAAGAAGGAAACTTGTACATTCTTTTACCAGGGACGTCCGAAGTAATAACAATATCTTCTGCTGAATCTGAACCTGAACAAGTATTCCTTGGGAAAAAGGACGGCCTGTCATACCCGAAAGCAATTTGTTTCAACAAAACATATAATACCTTTCTCGTGGTAAACAATTCCGGACGCCACCTTTCAATCTTCAAAAATAATTAAGCAAACATATGTTGTTCTCTCTTTACAATTTCAAGTTGCATAGGTGATATAGTGACATGTTTGTCCTTTTATCAATATATATATATATTATATATGTTAGACTCAGATTGACGTCCGGTCTCAAATCGACGTCCGTTCTTCAAATCGACGTCCAAATCTGACGTCACATTCTCAAATCAGTGTCCAATATTTTAATCCTCTAATTATAATCGACGTCCAATGTGACGTCATGTATTGTCAAAACGACGTCCGATCGATTGTAGTTTCTCCAATTTTTGTGCTTTTGCACATTTCTTGATCGGTGTGAGAAAAATATTTCTCCTCACTAGTGAAGTATCTGTTCTCGGCAAATGATTGGTCGAAATTTAATTATGACGTCAAATTTTCTTGGTTTCTTCTGAATTTCCTATTGTGACGTTATGAAAAAAGGCGACAATGCCTGATGACGTCACATATAAAGAACACAACTTTCTGCAAATCTTTGAAAAAAAAGATAAAAATCATTAGAGAAACAGATTCCACCACTATAACTCGTGTATTATTTATTGGACATCGATTAGAGAAATATAGATGTCACCACTGCAACAAGTGTGTTACGATATTTCTCCACTCTCGACAGTTTAATTTTTATTATTTAAAAAGCTCGGCAAGCCTCGCGCTTTAAATATTAAGATTTAACTGTCTCGAGTGGAGAAATATCGTAACACACTTGTTGCAGTGGTGACATTTATATTTCTCTAATCGATGTCCAATAAATAATAAATTACTGCACGTATATTATACATGTAGATGTATAAGACTTTGATTGATTTTGGAACATTCAAATACGAAATAAAAAATGAATTTTGGTCTGTTTGTTATTTATAACAACCCAATTTTCAAGGAGTTACAGACTTTCCATAGAGATTTTTCAACCCGAAATAGGTAACAGATGTATTGATATTCATTTGTATAAGGTCGATTTCTATCCGACGCAGCATTATTGTCTCTATTTATATCATCTGTATCGTTTTGTCTTTATGTAAAGCTGTTTTAAGAAACTTATTGTCTTTATACATTACAAATCGTAATGTCTTAGTAGACGTATGAGAAGGAACAACCAGAGACATATATACACAGAGATTGCAGGGCCGTAACTAGCCTCTGTTAGAAGTGATGGTAAATTATTCGCCTCGCTCCGCTTGGCGAAAAAATTTCCGGCGAGGGGTCTGGGGGCCGCTCAAGGCCCTCAGAAGCTCTGGAAAAAATGACGTAAAATCGTACATTCTGAGCGTTTCCCGGACCCTTTCTTAATCTGACACGCAAGTTTTGTTTTAATTATTTTTTTGACAATATTCTGGTCTCAAAGCAAAATATATAGATTCAGTGTAAGACTTTTAGTGTTTAGGGACAACATCAAAAGACCGATATGAAGGATACAGCAAAAATCATGATTCACATAGTTAAGTGTGTGGCTGCTGTTTTTTTGTTTTGTTTTTTTGTTTTTGTTATTGAGTTTCTGCTTGTAGGAAAAACGTATTATACCTGTCAATTACGTTCTTTTCAAATTAAGCTAAGAAGGGGCTGATTATCATTAATATAACTATGTGAATTCAGTTTTTATAACACATTTCAATTACAACTTGATGTAGTTCCTAACTGGGATAGAAAGGGTACACTCAGTGTAGACTCAGGAAAACTGTTCTTATAAGACCTCATTGCTACATTTTTGTGCTGTTTTAATATGTATATCGGGCGATTAATGTCGGATCTGCCTGTTCTGGTCTTGTATTGCGTTTAGACTTTGGTGTAATTTTTTTATGACTTTGTAATTTATTCACAGTTACTTTAAGTACCGCTTAATTCGACGCTAGGGGCCGTCTTGACATTGTTGTAAGGTATGAATGATTCGTTCATTGTTGAAGACCCTCCAGCGACTGTCAAGATGAAGAACAGGAATAAAAGACCTGTTCATTGATAATTCGTATTTTTTTCCATGCACATTTACTCCATAACCATTTATTTTCTATTAAAGGACCTGAACACGACTTAATGCAAGTTTACGCCCTTCAATGTAAAAGGTCATATGGCAATACATTACTTTTTTGTTTTTAAATGATTTGATTCCAGGAGATTGGTTGTCTCACTTTAATTTAACCCATGTCATCTTTTTAGTTTAATAGAAAAGAGAGTCAGTTTTGTATTCGTTAATATAAAGTATAATTTTCCATGAAAAAAACGATCAATTTTTCTATGTCCGGTAGCTTCGTATCTTCTCAAAACATTTTCTCGAACAATATCTGGACATCGGTGGAGATCTAACATTGCCAAACCACACAACCGTTCACCCGTCATTATCGACCACTTCGACTATGCTATTTCGATATTTTTTATTTTTCATTATGAATTTTTCATAGACTAACCGATACATATTTTTAAAATTTGAAGTAGTTTTTGAAATTAGACGAAAGGTCCTTAAATATAATAAAACTCAAGTTTAAAACAAAATTACTAATTTACAAATGAAATTCAACGCTAAGACAATAGTCATGCAGAAGGGCAATCAATGAACAAAAGACAAACCCGTGAACAGATAAGACACATAACAACAAATTATAGACAATCAACACTGAAAACTAAAAATAAATGAGAAACATGGATCCGAAAAAAAAACAGGGGCGACGTCAGAGGGTGAACAGAGCTTGCCGTGAAAACAATTTAATATGAAGACAAGCTTTTTGTTTCAACTTATTATTTTTTTTTAAATTTCCAACATGAGGCATTTGCCTCATTTGCCTCAATGTAGTTACGGCCCTGACTGATGGTATTAAGGAAAACATTTTGACGAAACTGCATTATTGGTTGGGTCTTCGCATATTAAAATGGGGCTGAACACTTTATTGCTGTTGCACTATAGCGCGAACTTCACATCTTTATTCTATCTAAATTATTCCATGTAATTATATCATATCTGTTTTAATTTAATATTACGTTTAATTTTTGATTGACCCATAATTAAAGTATCATTTATGGAACCTTTGCATGAATTTCCTGAATGAACGTACATTATTGGTGTTGTTGAAATCACTTGTTGCTGCCATAAAATAGTGAATATGAATTTGAATCTGTTTTTTTTTCGCAGTTTTTTTAAGACTTACAATCACCGACTCTGATTAAAAACAATTTGTATCATAAGTAGTCAAATTATCTGCTGAACTGTAGACTTCTAATTTTTTGTTTCATAGACTATCGACTGAGTACTGCAACATTCTTATCTTTACTCTTTGCTGTCGGGGAGTGAACTTCGAGTGAAATTAGACAGATATATGTCTCTGGAATAACACAGTCAGTTACATCTCTTCCCAAAGAATCAACTAAAGCAAAGTAAAAGGACTAACATCGATAAATGACAACGAGTATACGTCAATGAGAAAACAACCCAACGACAAAGAAACTTGACCAAACGACATATAGAGATCAAAATTCAGTCTTCAACAATGGACAAAACAAAGAAGTACAGCCAACTGTTTTGAGAGTATTACAATTCGGACTCTGTTAGATATTTTTGTTGTGCTGTTACACCACTGTTCCAGGTTAGGGGAGGGTTAAGCGCTAACAAACATGTTTAACCGCGCCAAATTCTTTATGTGCCTGTGGTCCAGTGTTGTTGTTGGTTTATGTCTGTTATAATTGTTTTGTTATAAATAAAACTGTTAGTTTTCTAGTTTGAATTGTTTACATTTTTCATGACGTGGCCTTTTATACATCATTGTAGCCGACTTTACGGTATGGGTTTTTATCATTGTTGAAAGCCGTATGGTTGCCTATAATTGCTTACATCCACCTCATTTGAACTCTAGTGGATAGTTTTCCAATTGGCAGTCATACCACATCAACGGCTTATATTTTTTATATAATCTCTTAAAATTTAAAATTGATGTTACAACCTGCATATATCGGTCATTTTATAAAGTTATGCGTCATTGCGGCAAATCCATAAAACGGACGTCGATTAGAGAAGCAAAAAATTGGACGTCGATTTGAGAACAACTAAAAGACGTTGATTTGGAATCTTTTATTGTGACGTCAGATTTGTACGTCGATTTGAGGAACGGACGTCCATTAGAGACCGGACGTCGATCTGAGTCTTACATATATATTAATTCTTCATGATGAGAAGATGCACATACTTTATATCATAAATGTTATAGGGTTTGTTTGTTTTGTGGGTGAACATCTACCTTTAAGTGCCATTGTGTAACATTTAGTAGTTCTTTTTATTATTAATTGTTTTTGGCTTTTAAGTAGCTTTCAGTAACTGTGAGTACTCTCAAATCGTTCTTTCGTGTTATTTGACCTGTTGATACAATTTGTAATGTATTTTTGTTATTTAATGTTTACTTATTTAGCGTTATATCTCGTCTCACTATTTTTAATATTTACCACCTTTGATAAGTGTTTAGTATGACGATAAATTTTCACTTCTGTGCTATGAACAACAAATAATAACAACAAAATTATTTATTTTGTAAAAAATATTTCCGTACTCCATGTGTACCTTACAACAAAATTATTTTTATTTGCCTGTGTACGTTATTTTATTTGGCGGCATTTTGTCCAAGGTAATGGTTGTATTTCTGATATTTTTTTGCATCTAACCCCCTTGTTTTATTACTTTCGTATTTACATTGTGTCATAGATCAAATTCATTCGTTCAGTGAATGTTCACTTGTTTTTGTTAATATATCTTTTGATTGAGTTAAGCCATTGCAATTGATATTTTATAGTGTGTCTTTCTATGTTGTGATGTTACTTTATTGTTTCAGGTTAGGGTGAAGGTTGGCGCCTATTAAAACGTTTAAACCCGCTGCATTTGTTTGCACCTGTCCTAAGTCAGGAACCTGATGTTCAGTGGTTGTTGTTTGTTGATGTGGTTCATAAGTGTTTCTCGTTTCTCGTTTTTTATATAGATTAGACCTTTGGTTTTCCTGTTTGAATAGTTTTACACTAGTCATTTTTGGGGCCCTTTATAGCTTGCTGTTCGGTGTGAGCCAAGGCTCTGTGTTGAAGGCCATTCTTTGACCTATAATGGTTAACTTTTACAAATTGTGACTTGGATGAAGAGTTGTCTCATTGGCACTCATACCACATCTTCTTATAAAAAATAAAATTGAGAATGGAAATGGGGAATATGTCAAAGAGACAACAACCTGACCAAAGAGCATTATATATAAATTGGTACATTCTAGATTCTCAAACAGTGTGATTATAACAGACAATACTCATTTGTGTCTAAAACAAAATCTATAAAAGCAAAAAAAAAGGTATGTTGTGTTTATAGTTTATGTAGAGAACATAAAACTGAAAATGGGAAGGGTTGTTAGGTCGTATATTCCTCAAACTGTTCTATCTTAAAAAGCATTTGAGGTTAGTAAATATGGAATATACAGAGGCAGATTTAGGGGGGGGCAGGGGGCCCGGCCCCCCCTTTTTGTGGGAAAAATTTGGTTGATTATATAGGGAATCACTGAAGCATGACTGGAGCGGGCCCCCTATTAAGCAGTCAGTGGGCCCACCTTATGAAAATTTCTGGATCTGCCACTGATATATTCAAAATTTAAGAGATGATTTAAAGATAATCGTTGCTGTTTTTGACAACCTAGGCAATGTTTTATTCTACTATCAAATATGATGCACTAAAAAAAGGGAGAATACGATGCTTTCTTATTGAATTTTTTATAGGAATTTCATGTATTTTACATTTATATGTAGAACGTTTGATCAGCCTTTTGGAAAAAAATAAGAACTTGTAATTTATATAGATGTCAAAAATGGGTTAAAATCAGAGGGTTCTGTGGGAAAACAGGAAGCCTTACCGATACATTTTTTTTTATTGTGACTTTCCATTATGGAGAGACCAATTTTGTGTGTAATATTGGGCTTACTATCCATAGTCTTGCCATGTATTCATATCTCCACTATAAACTTAAAGAGAAATGGTGATTGGCACATGCATTCATCTTTCAAGAAATAATTTGAAAAAAAGGTCATCATAGGAAGGTTTGCCTCTTAACCATTGGCAAGTCCATACACAATAATGGAAACACTGAATTCCAATAATAAAATAAATGGGGAATGTATCCATGGGACACAGATGATGCCCCCGCTTGCATATCATATAAATATATAAAGGAACATAACTGAAAAACGGTAAAAGTGATGCTACCCAAATTTGTACTTGATCTGAGTTTTGTGGTAATAAGTATTATGTATAAGTTTCATAACATTTGGTTGAGGCAAACTTAAGTTAGAGAACGGAAATGAAAAAATCAGCAATTTTTCCATTTGTAAAGGGGCATAACTCTAGAACAGTAAAAGTTACACCACCAAAATTCAAACTTGATCTGTGTTTTGTGGTAATAAGCATTTTGTATAAGTTTCATAACATTTGGTTGAGGCAAACTAAAGTAAGAGAACGGAAACCAACTTTGTGACGTACGTAAGGATGGACAAGGGTAAAACTTAATGCCACATCCGCTACAGCGGGGGCATAAAAACTACATTACATCTCTCCTCCAACAAAATGTTTATATGCTTGTCACATAACAGGAAACTTGACTGTGGTTGTTTTCACCTATATCTTAGTGTTCTTTGATGTTTCAAGATTTTGGAATACATGGCATCTGTTAGTTAGTCTCTCAACTTATTTTTTATATTATTATTTTGACTATTAAATGTCTTTTTGTGTTATTTTTTTTTATCGTTGTTTGGTTTCTGTCCCATTGGCATATACCTACATCTCATTTTATATTTATAAATACATGTAAAACAATAAAAAGAAAACACCAAAGCTACTGAATGCAGGAATATAGCATGATTTAATAGGTTTGTCTGTCCATCTGTATGTATGAATGTAACATCTTGTATGTTATCACTTCACAATGAACCCAACTTAGTGTCACAATTCAAGGTCATCTTATTACTGTGGATTCATTAAATTTCGTGGGTACCAATTTTCGTGGTTTGAGGAAAACTTGCATTTTTCGTGGATATTTAATTTCATGGTTTTGGCAAAGTCTGCATTCATTCCTTTAGAAAATTTGTAATTCGTTGAACATTTAAATTCGTGGTTCTCCTGTACCCACGAAATCCACAAAAATTGGTATCCAATGAATAATAATGAATCCACAGTACATTGTATTGAGATTGACAGGGAATTTTCTTTTTTAGTGTATTTGTCAAAGTTATGTACAAATTCTAGTAAATGGTATAGATAACTGTGTTACTGTTACATCTTACTATTTCTACTGCAAAATAATTCTGTTTTCCATAGCTATTATAGCTATCACAAAGTAAACCATTTTCAGTAATTATGAAACATTTACTTTCCATATGTAGTCAAAACTAACAATTTACAAGCAGTTACTGCCAGTAGTAGTCATTTTCCTGGATTGACTTATTGTTGTTTGCTTAACGTACAGTGGCAAATTTTTCGTGTACACTCAGGTTGAGAACAACTTCAACAATAAATCAATTGCTAAGTTGGCAGAACAAGAGAAAAAGCCAGGAAATTTAAACTGCAACTTCAGAAGAAGTTTTATTAAGTAAGGCCATATTGAGTTTATTACTGCATGGGTTCTTTTACACACAGAGAGTGTGAGACTATCCCAACACTGGACATTAGATTTAATATTCCAATTGTATTTCTTGATGTGAAGATATGTGAAGTCTATTCCTCAGTTTAGGAAATGAAATATTCATCTTCTAATATGACGCCTCATGTTGAGATAGTGCCAAGCTCTCTGAACATTAAAGAAACCTTGAAACAACTCTTTGAGAAGTATGTAGGTGTTGTGTTGCAAGAAAAATATTATGCGTCTATGTGACATACCATTGTTTTCCAATGGCAATCCAAATTTCCAGCCCATCATCCGGGTCAACTCCTTTTACAGGACCTACCTATTGTATTTTTGACAATTTGTTCTCGACCTTAATATGCATGAAATATTTGCCATTGAACTTAAACAAACAACAATCAATCAACCAATATTCATCTTTAACTTCTGCTCTTTTAAAAGGATGACTCAAGTATTTACACATGTACCAACAATTAAAAAAAAAACACAAAAAAAAACAAGGTCCATGCTTTTTCAGACAAAATATCCTACCACACGTGTTTACTATTGGTTCTACATTCTAATTAACTGTTTCAAGTTTCATGGTTTTAAACATCCATATATCATACAATGGAAAGAAAAAGTTGGCACATTGGTTACACTCCATATGGAAATCAGCATGTCAAAACAATTTTGAACAATATTAAAACATCTTTAATTTGAATTATCTATTTCTGAAGTTTTTTTCGTTTAATTTTTTTGCTGACTCTAAAGTCTTCTATTTTCCTCTTTTTAGCCTCTCTCTTGTTTAAATTTTTCTTGAGCTTTCTTCTAGCAGCAACCTCCGGGTGTGTGACAGCCTGGAATACAACATTTATATACTAAGTATATACTTTTTTTTATTTTTGTGTATAAAACAGATAAAAATACAAAATAAGTCTACTTTACAAATCAATAAATAAGACTCCATCATGAGTTAAGCCTATTTCAACTGATTTTTACGGTTTGTTCTTTGACTCGAGCCTATTTCAACTGAATTTTACAGTTTGTTCTTTGACTCGCATATTTCAACTGATTTTTACAGTTTGTTCTTTGACTCAAGCCCATTTCAACTGATTTTTACAGTTTGTTCTTTGAGTCAAGCCTATTTCAACTGATTTTTACTGTTTGTTCTTTGACTCGCATATTTCAACTGATTTTTACAGTTTGTTCTTTGACTCAAGCCCATTTCAACTGATTTTTACAGTTTGTTCTTTGAGTCAGGACTATTTCAACTGATTTTTACAGTTTGTTCTTTGACTCAAGCCCATTTCAACTGATTTTTACAGTTTCTTCTTATGTTGTGTAGTTACACCATTGTCCCAGATTAAGGGAAGGGTTGAGCATTCCTAAACAAGTTAACTTGCCACATTCTGTATGTGCTTGTCCCAAGTCAGGAGCCTATAATTCAGTGGTTGTCGTTGGTTGCTGTCTGTATGTGCCTGTCCCAAGTCAGGAACCTGTAATTCAGTGGTTGTCGTTGTTTGCTGTCTGTATGTGCCTGTCCCAAGTCAGGAGCCTGTAATTCAGTGGTTGTCATTGGTTGCTGTCTGTATGTGCCTGTCCCAAGTCAGGAGCCTGTAATTCAGTGGTTGTCGTTGTTTGCTGTCTGTATGTGCCTGTCCCAAGTCAGGAGCCTGTAATTCAGTGGTTGTCGTTGGTTGCTGTCTGTATGTGCCTGTCCCAAGTCAGGAGCCTGTAATTCAGTGGTTGTCGTTGGTTGCTGTCTGTATGTGCCTGACCCAAGTCAGGAGCCTGTAATTCAGTGGTTGTCGTTGGTTGCTGTCTGTATGTGCCTGACCCAAGTCAGGAGCCTGTAATTCAGTGGTTGTCGTTGGTTGCTGTCTGTATGTGCCTGTCCCAAGTCAGGAGCCTGTAATTCAGTGGTTGTCGTTGGTTGCTGTCTGTATGTGCCTGTCCCAAGTCAGGAGCCTGTAATTCAGTGGTTGTCGTTGGTTGCTGTCTGTATGTGCCTGTCCCAAGTCAGGAGCCTGTAATTCAGTGGTTGTCTTTGGTTGCTGTCTGTATGTGCCTGTCCCAAGTCAGGAGCCTGTAATTCAGTGGTTGTCGTTGGTTGCTGTCTGTATGTGCCTGACCCAAGTCAGGAGCCTGTAATTCAGTGGTTGTCGTTGGTTGCTGTCTGTATGTGCCTGTCCCAAGTCAGGAGCCTGTAATTCAGTGGTTGTCGTAGGTTGCTGTCTGTATGTGCCTGTCCCAAGTCAGGAGCCTGTAATTCAGTGGTTGTCGTAGGTTGCTGTCTGTATGTGCCTGTCCCAAGTCAGGAGCCTTTAATTCAGTGGTTGTTGTTGGTTACTGTCTATCATATTTGTTTTCTGTTTACCGTACTGGTATTGTTTTGTAGATAAATCAGGATGTTGGTTTCGCTTTTGACTTGTTTAACATTTTGTCATGTTGAGGTCTTTTATAGCGTACAGTGTACTGTCTGTATGTGCCTGTCCCAAGTCAGGAGCCTGTAATTCAGTGGTTGTCGTTGGTTGCTGTCTGTATGTGCCTGTCCCAAGTCAGGAACCTGTAATTCAGTGGTTGTCGTTGGTTGCTGTCTGTATGTGCCTGTCCCAAGTCAGGAGCCTGTAATTCAGTGGTTGTCGTTGGTTGCTGTCTGTATGTGCCTGACCCAAGTCAGGAGCCTGTAATTCAGTGGTTGTCGTTGGTTGCTGTCTGTATGTGCCTGTCCCAAGTCAGGAGCCTGTAATTCAGTGGTTGTCGTAGGTTGCTGTCTGTATGTGCCTGTCCCAAGTCAGGAGCCTTTAATTCAGTGGTTGTTGTTGGTTACTGTCTATCATATTTGTTTTCTGTTTATGGTACTGGTATTGTTTTGTAGATAAATCAGGATGTTGGTTTCGCTTTTGACTTGTTTAACATTTTGTCATGTTGAGGTCTTTTATAGCATACAGTGTACTGTCTGTATGTGCCTGTCCCAAGTCTGGAGCCTGTAATTCAGTGGTTGTCGTTGGTTGCTGTCTGTATGTGCCTGTCCCAAGTCTGGAGCCTGTAATTCAGTGGTTGTCGTTGGTTGCTGTCTGTATGTGCCTGACCCAAGTCAGGAGCCTGTAATTCCGTGGTTGTCGTTGGTTGCTGTCTGTATGTGCCTGTCCCAAGTCAGGAGCCTGTAATTCAGTGGTTATCGTTGGTTGCTGTCTGTATGTGCCTGTCCCAAGTCAGGAGCCTGTAATTCAGTGGTTGTCGTTGGTTGCTGTCTGTATGTGCCTGTCCCAAGTCAGGAACCTGTAATTCAGTGGTTGTCGTTGGTTGCTGTCTGTATGTGCCTGTCCCAAGTCAGGAGCCTGTAATTCAGTGGTTGTCGTTGGTTGCTGTCTGTATGTGCCTGTCCCAAGTCAGGAGCCTGTAATTCAGTGGTTGTCGTTGGTTGCTGTCTGTATGTGCCTGTCCCAAGTCAGGAGCCTGTAATTCCGTGGTTGTCGTTGGTTGCTGTCTGTATGTGCCTGTCCCAAGTCAGGAGCCTGTAATTCCGTGGTTGTCGTTGGTTGCTGTCTGTATGTGCCTGTCCCAAGTCAGGAGCCTGTAATTCCGTGGTTGTCGTTGGTTGCTGTCTGTATGTGCCTGTCCCAAGTCAGGAGCCTGTAATTCAGTGGTTGTCGTTGGTTGCTGTCTGTATGTGCCTGTCCCAAGTCAGGAACCTGTAATTTAGTGGTTGTCGTTGGTTGCTGTCTGTATGTGCCTGTCCCAAGTCAGGAGCCTGTAATTCAGTGGTTGTCAATGGTTGCTGTCTGTATGTGCCTGTCCCAAGTCAGGAGCCTGTAATTCAGTGGTTGTCGTTGTTTGCTGTCTGTATGTGCCTGTCCCAAGTCAGGAGCCTGTAATTAAGTGGTTGTCGTTGGTTGCTGTCTGTATGTGCCTGTCCCAAGTCAGGAGCCTGTAATTCAGTGGTTGTCGTTGGTTGCTGTCTGTATGTGCCTGTCCCAAGTCAGGAGCCTGTAATTCAGTGGTTGTCGTTGTTTGCTGTCTGTATGTGCCTGTCCCAAGTCAGGAGCCTGTAATTCAGTGGTTGTCGTTGTTTGCTGTCTGTATGTGCCTGTCCCAAGTCAGGAGCCTGTAATTCAGTGGTTGTCGTTGGTTGCTGTCTGTATGTGCCTGTCCCAAGTCAGGAACCTGTAATTCAGTGGTTGTCGTTGGTTGCTGTCTGTATGACCCTGTCCCAAGTCAGGAGCCTGTAATTCAGTGGTTGTCGTTGGTTGCTGTCTATATGTGCCTGTCCCAAGTCAGGAACCTGTAATTCAGTGGTTGTCGTTGGTTGCTGTCTGTATGTGCCTGTCCCAAGTCAGGAGCCTGTAATTCAGTGGTTGTCGTTGGTTGCTGTCTGTATGTGCCTGTCCCAAGTCAGGAGCCTGTAATTCAGTGGTTGTCGTTGGTTGCTGTCTGTATGTGCCTGTCCCAAGTCAGGAGCCTGTAATTCAGTGGTTGTCGTTGGTTGCTGTCTGTATGTGCCTGACCCAAGTCAGGAGCCTGTAATTCAGTGGTTGTCGTAGGTTGCTGTCTGTATGTGCCTGTCCCAAGTCAGGAGCCTTTAATTCAGTGGTTGTTGTTGGTTACTGTCTATCATATTTGTTTTCTGTTTACTGGTATTGTTTTGTAGATAAATCAGGATGTTGGTTTCGCTTTTGACTTGTTTAACATTTTGTCATGTTGAGGTCTTTTATAGCGTACAGTGTACTATACGCTATGGGTTTTTCTCATTGTTGGAAGGCCATATGTTGACCTAAATTTGCTTTAATCTATGTCATTTGGTCTCTGATTGATAGTGTCTTATTAGAATTCATACCACATCTTTTTATTTTTATAATAAACTGTAAAATCAATCTTTTATGAAATCAAGAAAATTTTCAATTAAATGGTAATTTACTAGATTCCTTCGAAGATGTAAATAATTTATTGTCTTGAAATAATATCTATCTTTGAACATGCATAAATAATTCTATTGAAATAAACAAAGATATAAGGATTCAGTGAATGTTTTTTTTATACCCCAAAATCATTATTACCTTAAAATCCAAATTATGGCTTGATTAGGGTTTGAACCACAAAAACATACACACAAATATTTACATGTCATTTTTATATTTATTTTCAATGCATCAAAAACACTGTAAAATCTATTTTGACAAATTAAGGTTGGGACAAGGGTAATAAACCAAGTTTATGTACATTAAGTTTTAGACCGGTAAAATAATACTTACTATAACAGCTTGTTTCCTCTTTCTAGTTTCCTTGTTTACAGATCTTTTCTTCATCACTTCAGCATATACTGTTGTAAATTTATCTATGCCAACTATTTGTTTAATAATATCCATCACTTCTATAGCAAGTTTCTTCAGTTCAGGGTCTATAAATACACAAAAACAGACAGTCATATTTATGGCCTGTTTAGAACTGTAAATTTGATAAATTCACTTTCAATCAATTACCATTAGTGGTCCCCTTAAAATTACTGTAAATTTCAAAAATTAATACTGCATTAATAAAATCATTGTGATTTGTGAGTTAACAATACCTACTTACAAACTTTAGCAAATTGTTGACGCTGCCGCCTTAGAAACAGCACACATAAGTCTCGCCTTTGCATTTATTTGAACTCATATTTGAATTTTGATACAATAATTTCTATGCAGCAATTTCTAAAATTGCAGTACTCTAATTCACATTTTTGTTTATTGTTCAATGATGGCACAATTCCTGATTATGCTATATACCACTATGACTTAAAAATTAATACTCAGTTTCCTTTTGTCAAGTTATCTTAGAAGATAGAAACATCTCATACCAGAGTTAGGAGAGCTGTCCACAGTTTCTCTCTGTATTGAAGGTAGAAATATATGAAGAACAGAACCAAGCATGTCAGCACCCATGTCTATACTCATTGCTGCTATCCATTTAAATACACTGTTTCTCTGAAATCATATAATTATCAATGCAGATTAATTTGTCCTTTAACCATTTTACTTAGTTTAAAGCTGAATATATCTAAGAAAATAGGCACCTCTCTAAAAATTCAGAAGTTATTATATGATATGGTTAGGATATATTTAATCTATATAACATATATTGTAATTAAGCATGACATTGAGTTACCCAATAATGCACTCATAAACTCTGCTAACAGGGATAAGTCTAGCATGTGTAACCTTTTCAAAGAATTTACAGGGCCAAAATTTTTTTTTTATATATAAACCATTCTAAGATTTAAAGTTGTATCTATAAAGCTCTAAATAAAGAAAACTTCCTACTTAACTTATAAAAGTGTTCAACAACTCAGGTATATATGTTACTGAAATAGCAAATTACTGTAATCCAACTTATTTTTGCCTAAAAAATGACTTGGCAAAAATTTATTTTGGAGATTTTATAACATAGTTAATGTATTCATATAAGAAAATATCCAAGTCTTACATTTTTGAGACCATTATTTGCGAAAGTAGCTTAAATAAATCACTTCATAAATGATAAGTTGGTTTACAGTAACATAACACACGAAGACTAATAATAATAATAATAATAATAATAATAATCTTTATTTCAAGAGGGTATGCTCAATTAGTACAAACACTATTCTCCCTTGAGGCCCTCACAATCCACTCACAATGCATCACACAATTTCATCATAACAAAGATAAACATAAGAAAACATAATCAAAATTGATACATAATCATTTAAATAATTCCTGGATTTTCAAGTAAAAACTTAAAGCAGTTTGTTTTAAAAGTATTTATGTTTGACATGTGTCTTAGTGCTTCTGGTAGTTTATTCCATAAAGTTGGGCCAGAATATGAAAAAGATCTTCTAAATGTGTTTGTTCTTGCCTTTGGTATATTAAGTAATTGGGTAGTATTTGATCTAAGTTGCATTCCATTTTTATTTGTAACATAGGAGATTTTGTTAGACAAATATTCTGGGACAGATCCATATAAACATTTATGAACATATAAGGCCTTGTGGTAAATTACACGATCAGTAAATCGAAGCCATGATAACTTTTTAAACATTGTATTAGATGGGGTATCATAAGGAAGTTCAAGAATAATTCTAGCTGCTCGTTTTTGAAGTTTATCTAATCTATTTGTATTTTGGTCACTGGTGTTTCCCCAAATTGTACAACAGTAATCCAAAATAGGGAGAATATAACCATTAAAGTATAACTTTCGTGTTTCCAGGGGGAGGGATTTCTTTATCCTAGACAAAAGATTTAGCCTGGTACTGATTTTTGTGCACAAAGTGTCAATTTGGGCTGTCCACTCAAGATTTTCATCAATAAAAACCCCTAGGAGCTTTTCGCCATTAACATCTCTAATGTGGGAGTTACCAACAGTCAAATTAAGAACATGGTCTGTTTTTGCTAGTTTCTGTCTAGAACCAATAACCATAGATGTAGTTTTTGTTGGATTTATATACATCTTATTTCCCTTGCACCATTCTTCAATTCTGTCTAAATCATTTGTAATGCTGTCCTGGATGGTATTGAGACTACAACCTGTGCAGTGAATGGTAGTATCATCTGCATAGAGGTCTGCTTGAGATGAGGTTATATGAAGGGGCAAATCATTAATGAACAATAAAAATAAAAGGGGGCCCAATATGGAGCCCTGAGGTACTCCAGATTTTATTTCTAGTGCCCTTGATTTGATTGTCCCATTTTCAACTTGTTGGAATTTATGAGATAGATATGATTTAAACCAGTTACATGATAAATTTGAAATTTTGTAGCACTGCAGTTTTTGAAGAAGGATAATGTGATCTACCAGATCAAATGCTTTTTTAAAATCTAGGAAGATAATACCTATAATTTCTCCATCATCAATGGCTTTCAACCACTGATCAATAAGTTTTAGTAAAGCAGTGTGACAAGAGTGGTGGCTTCTAAATCCAGACTGACTTGCATGAAGGAGCTTATATTTTAATAGGTATCGGTATAGGTGTTTGCAGACATGCTTTTCAAAAATCTTTGAAAGAGTAGGCAAAATAGATATTGGTCTATAGTTGTCGACAGTATCTTTAGGACCCTTTTTATGACAAGGAGGCTAAATTATACACAAATGTATAGATCAAACATATTTTGTATTATATCCATCAGTTCAATATATCTTTCAAATACTTAAAAATCATTGTTTTATTTATAAAGGGGTATAATTTTACCTTGAAAGTTGATGTTGTATTACTGACGACCTCATGGTTAGCTTCTCTCACCATTTTCCTTACAAGCCACGGTATTGACAATCTTTGTTCATTATCTTCTGGTAAATGTTTTGTCACTTTTGTAATAAATACCATATTTTTGATGACTTGATCTGCCAGTTCTGGATTCAAATAATGAGACTGAAGCTGTGAAACAAAATCTCCACTCAAATACTCCAGCTAAAAATAAAGTGAATGTAAAAAAGCTAGATGATGAGTATGTGTGAATTGGATACCCCTTCCTTTAAGAAACTATAGGCTTCCAGGAACTTGGCAGAAATATTCCTCCATAGCTGAAGAAAGTACAAATTTACTAATTTCAGATGAAACCAGAATTACTGTAAGTAAGGTCACAAAATGATACTCCTTTGTATTAAACAGCAAAAGTTGAATAACCTGTACCACCTGTTCAGAATTTCAGAATTGAATTGTTTTGCCTTCATTCAGATCTCTATATGGAATACTCACTTTAGTGAATTTCTTTTAAAATTGATAACTTTTATTTACAAGGAACAGTTGCACCTATGAACAAGGTCATCAATTCATGATTAATAAAATAATTATATGGTCAGTAATATGTCCTGAGATATTTGACCAGTATCATTTTCCTTCACATAGTGTACTACTCTAATGTACAGTTTTACTGACATCCTTAGAACAGTTCAGGAGAAGGTGTAGTCACAAGGCTATTATTACATGCTGAACAAAGAAATAAGGCAGTCTTTAGTTCTTTAAGTCCTCTTGAAGACAGAGTTGCCCACCTCTTTGCACATTAAAAAAATCCTTGCAACAACTCTTTGAGGATTCTAAGGTGTCTTGGTGAAAGGCTTAAATTCTGTCCCTATCAATATAAACTAACAGAGTTCCATTGTTCCCCACGTCACACATATTTTATCTGCCCAAGGGCAATAACTAAAAAAAGGGCAATAACTACAAAAAATATATTCGTTTTCTAACTTTTTAATAAATATCTTACAAGAAATGTAGACATAAATAGCTTATAAATGAATATCAAGATGCAGCTTTAAGGTATTGGCCCTTTAGAGTTCATGACTGAAGACCTTTCATCAACTGGCAACAATTTGTATGTATCTGGGATAAGTGATGAGTCAATCTTTTTTTTGTATATTTTAATTTTTTTTCAGAACCAAAAAAGTTTTTTCTTTTTCCTCTAACAACTCAAAAATTATTAAAGAAAATTTGAAATACATTTAGTATTAATGATTTGAATATAGATGTTACCTTTGTTCAAGAAAAGTTCTACATTACCTTTTTCATGGTGTCAATTTGTAAATACTCTGACTTCTTTGTACTTTTCTTGAGAATATCTTCAGGATTCCATGCAGCAAATAGAAGCCCAAAGAGCTGTGCTGATGTAGTTCTAATCCAGTTGTGTGGATATGGTAACAAAGATTTAACATTACCTAAAAATATGTCATATAAAACTTTATTGAAGACAATTCAAGACTAAATAACTTTTTTCTATTGATGTATCCCAACACAATATTTCATTAAAGGTCATATGCAAAGGTTTTGCATCATGTATTAAAATATCTTTTTTTTAAGTACTTTGTAAGTAGTTAATTTAGATGGATTTTAATAGAAAACTTTAATTTTATTTGTAAAATTAGAACAAAACACAAATGTCTGAAATTGAAAACAAAATATTTATGTCCTGTTGAAATCACTCTTTGCATCTCACATGTCATCTTATCCATTAGTAGAAAATGGATGATCAAAACAGCATTTTTTGTGTAGTTTAGTTCAAATAAGAATACTGGAAAGCTCCATTGATAATAATGAAAGCAGCTGTAGTTTTCATGCAAGTAACATCTTGCAATTTTCATTACAGGTAGATAGACAAATCTAGCCTCAAACAGAAGTTGTGAAGAGAGTGACCAATATGAAAATAAAATTTTTAATTTGTCCTGCTATGCTGGATTCAAAATCAATGTTCCTGGTCAATGTTCAACCCTTTACAACAAAAAAGTAGCATTTTGTCTCACAAGTAACAGATCAATGCATTTTATCTTGAATCAGCAGATGACATGACCTTGTGTTAATATAATGTGAGGACACAAATGACCAATCAAGTACATTCAAAGGGAGACAAGTCATATTTTTGATTTTTGACATCTGTGGCTGGAAATCAACAATAGTTATATTCAGTTTAAGCCTGTATCTTCTGCATTAGTTGTCAACACATAAAGTAAAGTCTGTAAAGATGTGACATGCAAGTCAGGGGTCAAAACTTAATTAAATAAATTCAAGAATGAGAATTATGCCCTTACATTACAGGTTATATAGCCCATTATTCAAATTAATAACCACTTTTTTAAAATATTTTTCTTACAGTGGTTATGAATATGAATAATGGTCTATATAACCTATAATGTAAGGGCATTATTCTCATTCTTGAATTTACCCAATTAAATTTTACATAATTTCACTAGTTCTTGTGCTGTCAGCTGATATTTTATTGAAATACATGTATTGCTACATTTAAAGTAATTCTGATGCACTTTACTGGATTAACGTACTACAACTATTAAAGGGGTATTAGCTACAAGATATAAAAAAAAGTAAAATATGATTTTATTTTTAGTTCAATCATTAATGAAAGTGAAATAGTGAAATAATAATTCGCTTTTAGCAGCTAATTTAGTTCAATTTTGTCAAAATAAGCTAAGAAACATCACTGATGAATTATTCACTTGCATAAGCTAGAGATTGGTTACGCATGTATTAGTCGTGTTCAGCCATTAAAAGGAAAATAATGTCAACATTGAAAGTGAAACAAAGGTGAACCATTTCGTTGACTGATTCGATCCACAAAAAATCATTCTTATACAGGTAAAAACGATGATTAATTTATTTTTTTAACCTATAACATGAAATCAAACAGACCTAGAAAAGTCAAATTGCATGAGGTCGCTACCTATTTATAGTTATGTTTATATCGGGTTATGTGATCATTGGCAGTCTTCGGAGGTCATCTCGATGGTTAATTAGATTGCGTCTAGACTGAAATACACACGAAATTCTGATATATATTATCGAGTCCATGCATTGTTAATTGTTTATTTCAGACTTATTGTAATTCGGATATATGTTTTAGTATGTTATAAATCAAATATGAGAATTGAGTCAAATCAGTGAACATTAATTTGACAGCTAATGCCCCTTTTAAGCCTTTATATTGGTCAGTACAAGTTTTGTTAAACAAAAATATTCAATACTGACCTTGGCCTTTGGCCTCCATCAATATTGAGCCTTGTTAAAAGGCTAATTTTAATATTATTTGTGTAATAGACACATTACAAGAACTTTAACTGTGACACCTGTTAATCGTTTAATAGTTATATTTTCTTAGCATCTGAATGAACTCTATAGAACCGTCACAATTAATTAGTGCTATTTATCTATGGCCATAAAGTCGCCACTGAAGAACACTTAAAGTTTCTGGTTATTTTAATATGTTTAACATTCAAAGATAAAGACAGATTTAATGTATATTCTGGTCAGTTTAAGGTTGTTGCTCGATGTGAAAAGTTGGTTACATGTTTGCTATATATAAATATTGTATATGAACACGATGTTGTCTTTTTAAGTAATATTGAGGTGTAACAAACCTATAATCTGTTAAAACTCAAACTGATTTTTGAAAGAACTATAAGGAAATCAAAAGTGTACATCAAAGATTCTGCAAACCACTTTATAATCAAGGTTTTAATAGTAAAATAACAATCATACCCCAAATTATATTCAACTGTTCAGTAAACTGCTGATCTCTAATGACATTACATTCCTGGCATATTTTGGTCAGGAGATTAAGAAGACTAAATATTAAATGATCCATTTCTTCGTTTTCCTAAAAAAAATTGTAAAACACTACAAATTAAGAAAGCTTTCATTTTTTCCTTTTGGACTGCTACTTGTTTTATTAGCATATGAAATCAATTGTGTGGCCATTTTATTTTAGTGTGGAGAATTCACATAAAAAATTAGAAGGTTACAAGAGGACCAACTAAAAATTACAAGCAAAGGTTGGAGGGTTAAAATCATGACCAAAATAGGAAACATTGAAAAATACAATAAAAAAAGTCCACAAACAACTTTACAGAAGATTTAACAACAGATACTCAATGAAAAACAGGAGCATTTGGTGTAAATTGTGCCGCTTAAAATAAATTTTACCTAATAAAAGGGCAACGCTAGGAAGAATTTAAATGAACATTAATGTGGATAGTGTCCACATATGGACACAGATGATGCCCCCGCTTGCATATCATATAGTTATAAAGGGACATAACTGAAGAACTGTAAAAGTGACGCTACCCAAATTTGAACTTGATCTGAGTTTGTGGTAATAAGCATTGTATGTAAGTCTCATAACATTTAGTTGAGGCTAACTTAAGTAGAGAACAGAAACTAAAAATTCAGCAATTTTTCTATTTGAAAACATGCATAACTCTAGAACGGTTGTGTATAAGTTTTATAACATTTGGTTGAGACAAACTAAAGTTAGAGAACAGAAACGAAAAATTCAGCAATTTTTATGTTTATAAAGGGACATAACTCAAGGATGGTAAAAGTGTAGCCACCAAATTTTGTACTTAATCTGTATTATGTAGTAATAAGCATTGTGTATAAGTTTCATAACATTTGGTTGAGGCAAACTAAACTTAGAAAACTGAAACAAAAAATTTGTACTTGATCTTAGTTTTGAGGTAATGAATATTGTGTATAGGTTTCATGTTTGGTTGGGGCAAACTTAAGTTACAGAATGGAAACTAAAAATTTTGCAATCTTTCGATTTATAAAGGGGCATAACTCAATAATGGTTAAAGTGACACTACCCAAATTCAACTTGATCTGTGTTTTATCAGTGGAAGTCAAAATTAAACATTGCATTGTATAAAGCATTGATTGTAGTTGATTCAACTATAATCATGGACAAAGGAAGGTAACTCCAATTTTAAAAATTACCTGATATTTAGAAGAAAATAAAAATTTTGCAATTTTTCCATTTATAAAGGGGCATAACTCTAGAACGGTTAAATTGAAGCCACCAAAATTCAAACTTGATCTGTGTTTTGTGGTAATAAGCATTGTGTAAAAGTTTCATAATATTTGGTTGAGGCAAACTTAAGTTAGAGAACGGAAACTAAAAATTTTGCAATTTTTCCATTTATAAAGGGGCATAACTCTAGAACGGTTATAGTGACACCACCAAAATTCGAACTTGATCTGTGTTTTGTGGTAATAAGCATTGTGTATAAGTTTCATAACATTTGGTTGAGGGAAACTCAAGTCAGAGAACAGAAACCAATTTTGGGACGTACGGACGGACGGACGTACGTACAGACGGACAAGGGTAAAACTTAATGCCCCCACCGCTACGGCGGGGGCATAAAAATCATCTTGACCTTGTGTAAATATAGAAGGATATGATTATATTATGTAATGAATATGAAATCATAAGGTGAGTGCTGACCATGTTCAAACTACTTTTGAAAGTCCAAAGATCCAGAACATCCTACTCACATCTTGTAACAAGTTGCATGTAGATCAATAAACCACGTAAACAGATTTGCCCTGACAAAGTGGCTAATGAACATGGTAAAAAAAAAAGATTAAAGAGAATAAATCTGGATAGTCTGAATATGACCTAAAAACTTGGCCAACCATAAAATATGCACAAAATGATCAATCATTCTGCAAAGTTATAAAAAAATACAGAAATACAGGACAAAAAGAAGTTGATAAAGATACACTGGATAATTCTTACATAACCAAAGCTTTGTTTGTAGTGGCTTAAAACTTAAATAAACATAACTCAATTTATTTAACTTTCAATCACTGACAGATATAAAAGTATGATAACACCCCTTTTTACTGGAGTGTTATGAAGATTCAAAATTGAAAGCTGGGTGAACATAAATAAATAAAACAAACTCATGAAATTAATTCTTATTGTTGATTATTCACTGTCTGAGAAAGTTAATATTCAGTTTTTCTGGTCACCATAACATGGGGATTCTTACTACTCACTTCAAGACAATCTTCATGACCATATTTCTCTAACTCTTTCTGAATAAGTGGTAAAACAGTTGACAGTCTGCTAGTAAATTTAGTAGTCTCTACTTCTACAAATAATCCACAAGTCTGAGCTCCTAGTGTTTGTAAGGTTACCTGTATCAAATAGTTAAAACGAAAAAAACTGAAATACATGCTAAATCATGATAATAATATCTAATTTCACAGATTAGTACACAGACAAAAAATAAGCATAATTATGGCAAATAAAATTGAGAATGGAAATGGGAAATGGGGAAAGAGACAACAACCCTACCATAGAGCAGACAACAGCCGAAGGCCACCAATGGGTCTTCATAAAAGTATATTATGCAGACTATAATATGTTCTGCTACATACGTCTCACTCAGTGGACAATAAAATGTTGATACCTCTAAATTCTGCAATATGATAAAGTCTGCTACTTGACATCAAGAAAAGATTTTCCATTTTGCTGTTTGAAATGATTTGATCACAAGGTTAATGGACATATGAAAAAAGATCTGTGAACAAACTAAACCAGGATTTTCTGAAGATGGCATATTGGAATATCTAATAAATTTATGGTTGACTCATAAATAAAAACATACCTTTTCTTCAGACAGCCATTTAGCACAAATAAGAAATAAATCATTTCTTGTTTTGATGTCTACCTGAAATAGCAATATCATAAATGAATCAAAGTGCTTGTAAGCACAGAAGGGTAAAGGTTGCTTTAATTTATCAGTGGGAAGTAAAATTAAACATTGCATTGTATAAAGCATTGGTTGTAGTTGATTCAAGTTGGACAAAGGAAGATAACTCCAATTTTAAAGATTACTTTAACAATGACATCATTGATATTTTTAGAACAGATATTAGATTCCTGCACCTTGCATAAGTTATGTAATTGTCTTGACCATTATAACATCATTTTGTAACTTGATTATCTGAGCATATATTTCATTGATAAATTTCTGGAAATGTTCATGGATAGGATGTATAGAATGTTATGATCAATGCACTTTATTTTGTGTATCTCAAAAGTAGTGATAAACCTTGGAAGATTTAGATATCAAGTCAGTATCATAGGGTTTTGATTGCATTTCATGCAATCTTTACCCAAAAAATCAACATCTTTGTTCGAAATATTTAGTGATCACATGACTTCAAGGTGTTCAGCAAGCAAATGATTGTTTGTTTTAATGTTGGTAGTTGTTTAAAAGTTACTCCACATTTTATCTCAATACAGTCATTTAAATTGGAAATACAAATAAAAATTATACTTAAAACTTAGTTTTTGGTGGTGAAAGATTTCAGACTGTAACAAAGAGCAGACAACTTTGACACTATGACTGTAAACAAAAGTGTTTATAAATAAGCTATTGAGAATCCCAAAATTTCATAAAATTTACTAATTTAACCAAATAAATAGAACTGGATGTATATAGGGTAATTGTTCTAAAATAAATTTCATGGACTAAATGTAAGAAAGCTAGGCATTGCACAAAAAAACATCAATAGTTCCAAAAATTAAATCCGAACACTCTGGAAGGACAACTTATAAAAAAATAAAAGAAGAATGTGTCTGAGAACACCAATGCCCCCGCTCAAGCTTGCTTATAATTTAAAAATACTTTTGGGACGGACGGATGAGCGGACGAAAAAACGGACGGTCAAGGGTTACACTTAATGCCCCCTTTGCCTAGCATTGGGGACATACAAAATGAAAGTGGACAGGTTTTCATGGAACTATACTAATCAGCAACCAGCTACTGTCAATTACCAATTCCTGTCACCTGGAATTTTATATTATAACAAATGCATAAATATGGCATACTGCTGTTATCTTCAAACAAATATTATTTTTTTTCCATTTGTAAAAAAACTGTTGAGCTTTTACCAACAAAAGCTCTAAAACAACAAATCTAAAAATTGTCAAACTAAAAAGGAACTTGTCTCAATTTAACCACATTGTGTAAATGTTTGTAGAATTTTTGAAGCAATCTCTAATTGGTCCTAGACATTGTCTGATAGACAGGTGGAACAGAGATGGACAACAGATAAGAATAATATATCCATTTTTGACACGAGTGTTCTGTCTGTTGTGCATAAGATAATAAAACTTATAAATATATCCCTACCTTTTGTAGTAAAGACTTGATGGCCAGAGCTGTCAATTTCTTACATTTTGGCGAGGTATCATTTACCAAAGCAGCTGCCATAGGTATGAAAAACAATCCAGAATATTTTACCAACATAACCTGAAAAAGGAAATACTTGCTTTACACTTAAAAGTACATTTAAGTTTTACTATGCGAGGAAAATTTTACAAATGTATGGTTACTAAGGATTCATTACTATTATTTGTTGTGGACTAATTTTTTGTGGATTTTGTGTGTAAAGGTTAATCACAAACTTAAGTGTTCAATAAAACACAAATTTCTTATAGGCTTGTATGTAGAATTTGTCAAAACCACGAAATAAACTATTCACAAAAAAAAACAATATTTCCTCAATCCATGAAAATTGCTACCCATGAAAAAAAAATGAATCAACAGTATTGGATAGTTTTCTATCCAATGTCTAAAGTAACAGTTTCAGAAAACAAGAGAAATGTTTTACTAGGAAAATTGATTGTTTCGTAGGGGTATTTAAAACTATTGTTATAGCTTTTTAAGATGGACTCCTGACCATGTATTCTTGTTTTTTGCATAAAATTACAGCCTTTTAAAATTGAATCCACAAATAGTGTAGGAGATTACCTGTGGAAATGTTGAAAATATAGTAGCCAACATTTCTAATGCTGATTCCCTGCCTGTGTCTATACTGTATGACAGCTGTGTCACAAAGTATTCTAAATGACTAGCTATGGCTCCTCCTTGAGGATAGTCCATAAGAAACTGAGATACTATCTGAAATTTAGATGGTTTACATTAAAAAGTTTGTATTTTTTTTCTTTAAAAATATATTTGCAGCTCATACACATAATTTTTAAACTTTTATTACATAGCTTTGAGACCATTTTTTTCATTCTGATACACAAACTGTATAGCTAATTATCATATCAAATGTATATTATATAGTACAATCAGTCTGTTTTCCGAAAAAAATAAATGAAAAATGATTCACAGTTGAAAACAGAAGACAAAGCATTCAGCATTTATCATGAGAATTGTTGAATAAATGGAAAAAGAACAAAAGCAATAAAGAGCTACGCCATGAGCGCATGATACGCCCATCGCCAACTGGAATTTTTCGACAATTTTTTAACTAATAAAGTTCCATAACTCGGCGCTTATTTCAATAGATATAAACAAGTCACCAAAGTTTAATGATAACTGCTAAAAGCATTTTTGAGTTATTGTCCGAAATACTGGCAAATCCCTCTTTTTTTTTATGAAGAAAGTCCAAATACTCGAAAAAGTAAAATCAGACATATTTTTAAATCGAAAGAAAACTTATGTCACTATATATAAACAATTCACTAAAGTTTCATGAAAATTGTTCAAAGTATTTTAGGGTTATAGTCAGAAAACTGGAAAATCCCAAATTTTTATAAATAAAATCCCACAACTCAGAAACGTAAAATCGGAGCTTACGTCAATAGATATAAACAATTCACCAAAGTTTCATGAAAATTGGTGAAAGCGTTTTTGAGTTATTATCCCACATGTTGACAACGGAGAGAAGGACAGAGGCATACCATAATACGTCCTGTAAATGAAGAAAAACATATTTTTGTGATAAACATAACACATACTTGTCGACATTCTCTTCTTATATGTGCTGAGTCAGCAGTAATTGACATCTCTCTGATTTTCTGCACAATTAATTCTATTTGTTCTGTATGTAGTTTTCTAGACAAAATAGCCTGAAAAAGGTAGAGTATGTGAATGGTAAATCGTGTATTGTATGCGAATATCTTACATAAATACTGCATACAGTATAATATATTTAGTTAACAAACATATTTTTTTTTTTATAAATTTCTTACCTAGTTGAATATGTTGTTTATGCTATTATTCCTATAATACTAGCAAAAATTTAATCAAACTTTAATCATCATATAAATACAGGTTGATAAGATTGTTATAAAATTTCGCCCAATTACGTGAAAGAAAATTGGATATTGTGCAAGACAATTAAAAAATTGTCAAAAGTTCAACTAATTAAGTACTACATACATGTATAACTCATAAACCCAACAACACAAAAAAACCCACCCAAAGACATCTAAAGGTCAACATATGGTCTAAAACAGTCGATAAGTCATTAACAAGCTTTAAATCACCTTGACCCTAGAATTGTAAATAACGTTAAAACTTTCAAAGATCTGCCATCAATACCCCAAGTTCACTAATGACAAAATAATTATGACGTGAACAAAGACAACAACTACTATGTTTTTACTAGACTTGGGACAGGTACATAAACACATAGGGGTATTATACTCTTATTATACTTTTTTTTAGCATTCAACCCTTAACTTTTATTGTCTATCAGTCTAATATCAAAGTGTACTTATATCACTACCTTTCTAGACTAGAGGCAATTTAGAGCTTGACATATAGTATAGCAATCTTGTGTTGAAGACCTGGTGTTAACTTATTGATTTGTTTTCTTGTAAAAATAAGATGCTGTCTTATTGACATTTATTATATACTTAGTAGTAAATACAGATAAATTGTATGTGTAATACGGTCAATGGCAATCGTGCTGTATCAGCCATTCGTGATGATATCGATATCAGTCACGGTTGCAAAGGCTTTATCACACCTTTAATTTGGATGACGTCACGTCATCAATATCAGTCACTGTTGCAAAGGCTTTATCTGTATTACGTCATGTCACGTGAAAAACATCTACTTGAGGTATATAATAAAGTGTATATGATATGGCTTTTTCAATATCACACACCGTATCAGCCCTCAACCAATATAATCCTTCGAGCAGAGCTCTTGGAATTATATTGGTGTCTCGGGTTGATACAGATGTGATATTGAAAAAGCCATGATATTCTCTATATACCCCACATCTCTTTTAATCATAAAAGAACGTAAAATAAATATCACTTCAAAAAAAGCACTTAACTCCAAAACAGACAACAAAACCATATGTACAAGAGAAAATATACTAGATAAAATTGTATCAATGCATGCTCACTGTTATAGAAAACAAGCTAATACAACTTAAAATTTAAGGAACATTTTAGTAATGTTTGAGACTGTTGATAAACAAATTGATATTAATTCCTACAAAAAGAAGAGGCACTGATTCGACAGAATATTTAAAACCTTCATCAATAAGCCTTTAAAGCAAAAAAAAAAAAAAGGAAAAGAGAAATCATTTGAAAGAAAATCCCAGAATTGTTATATAAATAGCAATACAATGATTATTTAACCATATAATTACTTTTTCTTGGACATGTTATTTAAGGAATGACTGTAATATTTTTTCTGTCTATGAAGAAATAACATTAAAAATGTGGTGCACATTGAATAACTCGCGCAGCGGGTTATCTAAAAGTGTGCACCACATTTTTTAGGTTATTTTGAATAGACAGAAAAAATATTACAGTCATTACTAATAATTTAATTCTAAAAAGGAGTAAATCAGGGGTCTCATTGGGGGATTCTGATCCCGGATCCTGCTTACTGTTTTGTCAAATTCCTGTATCCCGCTTACACTATGTACGTAAGCAATTCTCATTGTTTTGTAATTTCCCGTATCCCGCTAGACTTCATTTCCCGTTTTCACGGCACAATAATTTGACTTTCACCTGTCACGCTTACAAAAAATCGGCAATCCCGGGTCACGCTTAGACCCCAATGAGACCCACTAAATCATGATAAAAACGTTGATGACGTCACGATCACATGACAAAGTTATGTCTATGAGTTGATAGACAAAACACTTTCAGCCAATCAGAAGACGTGTTGCATCCAAAATTTAAATTATTCTTGAACCAAAAAAGCTTTGGTGCATGCTTTTCTGTTTTAAATTTTCAATTATTTCAAAAATTCAAAATAGGCACCTATACATAGCAAAAACAAAGTCTAAATTGTCAGGCTTATGACAAAAAAAAAGAATGTAAAGTTCAGCTAAACATCTTGTTTACCTTAAATAAACTAAAAGCTGTACTTTGTCTATTGTGATCATACAAATCTTCTTCACAGAAAGTCAGTAAAACTTGTAGTTGGTTCTGATCAATGTCGTAGTACTGAACATCTCTGACTAATACTGTCACTGTCTGTAATACAAAAGTTATTTGATATAAATGAATGATACTTAAATTAACAGCACACTATCATATAAAATCACTGTCATAATTTATGTGACTTAGTTTCAGGTCAAACGCTCATGAAAAGGATTCTACCCTCTAAAATTCCTTTTTTCAAATATTTTTTCAGGTTTTGGCAAATATGATGATTGGAAATAAATAATATTTACTGGATTTCATTTCTAAATTTATAGCTCAACAAAAATTTCAAGTAATGTCCATGGTCAAATACATAAGATATTTTTTTTAACATAATGCATTTCAGAGAATACACTTATTTAAAAATAAACCTTTTTATTTCAGTTGACAATCTTAGATAGTATTGTATATTGTTTGGTTGAAATGGATTGCATTGTACCTTAAACAGTATGGAAACAAGTTCAAAGTTCATCTACCTTAAACAGTAAGGAAACAAGTTCAAAGTTGTCTCCCTTAGCAGTGCCAACAGATGCATAATTTTTCAACAAAACAAACAGTCCCTGAGCAATCTTCTTGACACTTGTTTTCATTGAGCGCAGTGGAAATTTCAGTAACCATCCCAAGCACCTTAAACACAAAATGTTTACCTGTAACAAAAGAGTAATATAAATTTTTAATATAATATGAGTTATATCAACAGAAAGCATACATAATTGTTCAATATTAATCATATTTAATATAGAAGTTAAAACAGAAATGCAAATAGAATGTTTAGGAATAAAATAAAAATTTAATAAAATATATATTAAATCATGTATATATATACATGATTAAATCATGTATATATATATATATTGGATCATATCTCTCCATTTGAGATAGATGTGTAAAATATGTTATAGAATGCAAGAGTTGATGAGGGTTTTAAAATTCTCAAAGTTAATATAAAATATACAAATTTCTTTTTACAGTAATCTTATACCTTTACATGTATTACCAAAACATCATATCATCTATACTTTTCAATGATTTTTTTCAAATCTGATTGCTAATGTTAAATATTAGGAAAATCTTACCCTGATGTGTTTTGACTGTAAATTATTTTTAATAATGCCAATAAATGGATCAATGAGCTTTAAATGATCAGGATTTTGATGTGTCATTTTGGATCTCTTCAGCAGCAGGTATAATATCTGAAACAAACATAAATTGAAACTGCATACTGTGAAAGTACTTTTATTCGTGGGTATCAATTTTTTGTGGAATGCGCAAAAGTTACATGATTGTAGGTTCTTAAATTCGTGGATTTTAGTTTTCTGAAGAAAAAAATTCGAGTGAAGAATTTGAACCCATCAGAAATGAAGATTCTAGAAAATAATCATATGGTGTTCTTTGTCACTTTCATGTTCGTCTTTCATTTCTGATAACACTCATCAGATTTTTAATAAAATAATTACTTTCAGAAATAAGCTGATTCATCTCTGAATACAAATTGTCTCATTGAAGGAAATTGCAAAATAAACACTTTAACTGTTGCACACGTGTAATCAGAAGTGGTGACACTAATTAACCCGAGATCTAAAGATCAACAGATTAATGATCATCAAAGATGTAAATCGGGCTATAAACATGTCATTTAAAAGAAATAGGTTTCATACAAAATGCTGCTTTGAATTAATACTTATTAAATCATACTGATGAAATAAAAAAGCAAGCCCAAAATGAAATTAATATTATTTTTTGTGAGAGAATTATGAGGAGATAAAATGAACACTTCACCATTATATATCTTCACCTGAAGTCTGATTTTCATCTTTCAAAACTATTTTTCATGATAATTAAAAGGTTAAATATCGTACAACTTAGGTTATTTGAAGATTAAAATCCTGTCTGAAGTTTTACATGCTACTGTGCTACGCCACTGCATAAAGTTCATATTTCGTTTGCTGATATTCGATGTTTTCTCTAGATTATATGCCCGTATCAATGTAGTCTAACCTACAGGGGATCTTTCCATGTCTTGATTTGGAAAACAGTTGTTATATTTCTTTGGACACTTAAATTCGTGAATAAAGCCTTCCACGAAAACCATGAAAATTGGTACCCCACGAATAAAAGTACTTTCACAGTATACAATTTGCATCATTTGATTTTTCTTTTATTCATAAAAACATTTCTTAATTTAGGGTGAAAAATTTTGAAATTAAAAATTATTTTTACGAATACTTAGTCTCATTATATAGTTGCAACCTGAACTTTTTGTTTTACACTTTCTTGATGTTTAAACTATGCAGTTGATGATTAACTGTACCATTCAGCTTAGCCTTGATTATCAAAGGTCTTCATGGCGATGGGTAGGGAGAAGAGTTTTGAAAGTATTCAATCTGTCACTAGTTCTTACTTAATGTTTTGGTAAATTTAACAGCAGTATTAATAAATAGTCTCATGTTTTCACCACAGAGTTCAGGTATCTTCATAAAACAGTTAACTTCTGTTAAAAAAATTTAACATAATCATCTGAAGTATTACACAAGTAAATCATATAATAGTTAACTAAGTGCAGAAATTTGTAGAGAACACACCTCTAAACCAAACTCGACCAGGACATGGATATTAGTTTTCTTGTTAGGCTTTGGTTTTCCTCCACCATATGCTGGTTTTGGTGGCAGCAGAAGACAGCTTGGTGGTCGTAAACTTTTCTTTCCTTCAGGTTTTTTCTCGCTACAAAAAATAGAACTTTCAACTATTGTCAAATTGAATAAATAAATACAAAAATGATAACACTTTGAACATTGTATAGGCTTTTGTATGAAACAGTTTTTTTTTTCTAAAAAAAAGACATTACTATAAGAAAAAACAAAAATTCCAGTATAAGTATTTGCTCTTTGTAATCTCACTGAAACAAAAGTACATGCCATAATGCATTTTATAAAGTATAAGTCAAAAGTAAGTGTTTTAATAAAATTATAAAATAAATTACTAAATGAATTTTATGTAAACCTCATGGCTATTTATTACCCTAAATGGATTATTTAAAATAAATTCAGTATTTAATGTATAGCATACATACAATGTGTTATGCTTTATGTATATACTATTATGTCAATCTTTCATGATGTTTATTTTCAGAGTATCAAAAACTAAAAAAAAATTATATGAAATTGCAGCCAACATTGCACTTACAAGCAAGGGTCCGGAAACGGTCATATTTGCCAGTCATGTCCTAAGATGAAAGCTATATGTCCTAAACGAGTATTTGGGATTTAGGACAAATTTTTTTTTTAACAGAAATAATTTCATTTCATTGACTTAATGTTTGAAATCGGGTTTCTTAATCGCCATTTTCCACTTGTGATCACTTGTTTTTGTTTATAATCCCTTTCCTGTAATAAAACTGCCACTCCAGTAGTTTGATAATCCTGAGGGCCCTCCTAATATCTATATCGATGCCTCCGGGAAACATTGGCTAATGATCGCTAATCACTTTTTACCTGTGGTTTTAATTCACACCTGACAATTGGTCACATTGATCACAAGCTCAGAATAATATCTTTAAGAAATTAAAATTCCCTGACAAGTGTATTCATTATTTAATTACTTTCAGCAAAGACAATGATCAATTCTGATTTAAAAATAAACCTTACTTTAATTGACGTTGAAAAAAGTGTTTTTTCAAGAGTAACACATGTGCTTTATTTACTATGTAATACGCATGCGTGAAATTGTCTTCAGCAAATATATTAAATATTTAATTTGATTTCATGCTAAAATAAACGAGTGCAACTATAATCTGTTATATTCAAACACTTTTAAAGGTAATAAAATAAAAGAAGCCGGTGATTTCCTGTCAATTTGATCAACTAAACGAATCCCGGAAATGAATCCGGAATTATTCGTGCTTTAATATTCTTGCAAAACTTCCGGTTTTAATTTTGTCAAATCGAAAGAAACGTAAGCAATGTCTGAGAAATTAACCATTTTGAGTCATTAAAATCATTTTAATTTTAAACTGTTGCCTTCCCTAAACTGTTTTTTGAAGGTTTTTAGAAAAATGGTAAGAAATTTACTTAGTAAATGCAATGAAACATCAATACAAGTTTGCTGATGCTATAAATCTAGTTTGACATCGACAATTTGAAAGGGCACCAACTTTTCAATCATCTCAAAATGACCGAAATTGTGTGAAAAAATTTCCGGATCCTTGCTTACAAGTGTAAAAAAATATAATATTTTGTAATACCTTGGTTTTTCTTCCTGTGATGTAATTAAGGAATGAATAAATATCATTGTTTTCTCTACATCCATGCCAGCATTGTCTATCAAACCTAAAGAAATCTTTCTTAATGCTTCTTGTATTTTCTTCGTAGATTTCAGACTTTGCGTACTGTCAAGGACCTGTAAACATAAAACACAATATATATAAAGAGATTATGTTTTTTAAACTCAATATATTTTCTCATCCTCATCTCATCTCATCTCATCTCATCTCATCGAAAGGGCAACATCAGTTTTAAGCATTTTCGAATATATGAAAAAAATGTACAGCCAAAAAAAGTATATCAAACATTATGAATGGATTTTCTTACTTTTTGACGTGTTGAATGTATCAAATCACACCAAACATCACAAGCTAAATTCCATCATTTATTAATTTTTTTTATAGTGAAGTAAAATAGGGTGGGATTAGCAGACAAAAATCAAGACAAACTAAATCATTTGTTAATCAGCCTTCATTTATTTTAGGTGACCCTGTACTATAGGGTTATGGTTCCAATCACGGCACATTCATTTACTGTAGGGGTACCTGTACTTTAGGGTTAGGTTAGGGTTATGATTAAAAGTAAGGGCTAGTGTTGGTATGAATCAGATTGACAGTTAATTTAGTTTATGCGCTAAGTCCCCAAAAGAAAATCAATGTTAATTTTTGCATTTTGTAAATTTGCTAGGAGCAGATTTTAATTCAATTTTTAAGAACTTTTAGTTAAAAATAAATGGAAAAAGATAAAAAAAAAAATGAGATAAAATATTTGATGTTTACATTCAAAGCAGTAATTAGATAAGTCTTTGATGATTGATCCTAACTGGCATGTGAAAGAGAATTAGTATACTGTAGACAATGTACCTTAGAAACTACATGAGGTTATGTTAGCAGTTTAGATCTTAGAAGGAACAATTAAATATTTGCTGTAGAAAAAATGAAAACAACACGTTCATGCGTCCGAAACGCTTTTCTGGATTTACCTTCATCAGGGATGCTCAAAGCCAAATATTTAAAATCCAAGGATGTATAAGAACCGAAACAGTAGAAGAGCTATATAACCAAAAAGTACCTAAAAAATAGCCAAATCCATCTAAGGTAAGCTGAGATAGTTGAAACCTTAGTTTCTATATAATTTTAAAATTTATAGATGGACAATTTCAGAAAGGCTTGTTATTAATCATGACAGTACCACAGTACTGACTACTGAGCTGATGATACCCTAGGAGACTGATAGCCCACCAGCCCAAGGTAACGACCCAGTGCTGTAAAAAATGAAAAGAATGCCTACGATTAACATAGTAAAAATTAGTCACATGCAAAAATTCCCAGATAACTAGTACTTCATTACTGTATTGTAAAATGTAGAAGATAAAAAATCATTCCTAATAATTTTAGTAGTTTCTTACTTTAATAATATGTATTACATATATCAACTATTGCAATTTCAGAAATTTTTTGCATGCAGATATTTTTGCAATTGTTGAACGAAGGACACAAATACGAGATTTATCATGTGATTTCAGAAAATGCTGCATACAAATGGTATCAAAATTTAAAATGTGACTTTTTTTGCAACACCTGTCCTGTCGCAACTGTTGCATAATAAAACCATCACATAAAAATTCTGACTTTCCAGTATTCAGAGCTGGTAACTTTGGTTGCCAGGAAGAGCTATATTTAACAATTAGAAAGTTGCAATAATTTCAAATAATTTTAATTATACAATCTTTTCAACCAATAACATTTTTTTTCAAAACTTAAAATTCCAGAATTTTATTTCATCCAAAATATATAAAGGTACATATATGTGCAAAATTCTTACCTGTTTTAGTGGTTGAAGTAAGCCTGACAATGAACTCATTCCAATAAACTTGCCCAAGATTTGATATGAGTCATAACTCTTCATTGTCTTGGCTTCGAATACTTTTCCCTTGATAGCATCCACATTTTTCTCCTCAGCAACCATACCAAACAACTCTTCATGGAAAACCTAATTTGAATAAAACGGAATATTACTGAATATAATACTGGACATTGTGTTATGGACTATTTAACAGTTGTTGAAGGAATCTGTACTAAAACAAATTATAAAGGGTTTCAGAAACCTGTAACCCAGTGTCTCACCTGTGACTGCTTCTGTCAGTATACAAGTTTATTAACCAACTTACTACAATATGTATAGAAATGCCCATGCTTTATAAAAGGAAAATTTCGACAACTGGTCATTATAAACGGAGAAATTGCTACAGCCATGCATTACGAAATCTCAGTCATGCATTACGAAATCACACCCGTGCATTACGAAATCACAGCCATGCATTATGAACAGATGAAACGGGACATCGATTAAATCAAAATGTCGTTTATTTCTTCAAATAAGTGACAACTTTTTTCATTTTTTTTTAACTTAATAACATAAAAAAAAAAGTTTGAAACGGAAATATTACACAGCCTTTTTCGAGTACGACTTTCGATTATTATCACTGTTTCATTTCCGTTGATCAATATTATCAGAATGCAGACTACTCAGAGTCAGAGTATACGTAAGAATAGTTAAACTGTCTGATTTATTCTTCCCAGCTACTTTATATTTGCTAGATGAAATGAATTGTAATAGCATAAAATAAAGTACTTGGATGAGAAATCAGAAATTACATCTGACAATGTTGACCAAAAATCCATCGTGAATGCGAAAAGACAAGTTCAGCTATGAATTCCTGTATCTTCTTCACAGTAAGATTCTTGTTTAATCGAAGAATTAAAACCATTTACGGTAATAAAAGTGTTATGAACTTGCTTTTTTTGTATTGGTCCTATTATAGATTCGTGATTAGCTGTATTTGGATCCGAGACTCAAAGACTGTTCTTGAATGAAGTTGCCTTAGTTGGATAATAAAAGTATCAATATATGGACTTTTTCATATTGGCCCTGTAACATGCCCTTGGTATAAATAATGGCCTCAGACAGTTGTAATGGCCCTCGGTGCTGCCTCGGGGCCATTACAACCATCCTTGGCCATTATTAATACCTCAGGCATGTTACAGGGCCAATATGAAAAAGTCCATACATTAATACTATAGTAATGTTGACTGCCAAAAACTAAGTTCAATTATCAGAAAAATACAGAAAATGAAAAAGAAAAAATATCAAAACTTCATCCAAAAAGGTTATATTTACAGCATTAAATGTTTTAGCATCATTGTATAAATATGATGTTATTTTGTTTGAATGTCAGGCTACCTGAAATGATTTTCTTTTAGTTTTTTGTTATAAATGTGATGCTATTTCAAAATTCCTGCTTTACCAAGGTATGATATGAATTTTTTGTTTAGAGCAATGGTATACATACCTGTTGTAAACTTGCTCGGCAGAAATCTAGTTCTCCAGGTTTTATCACAGATGACATGTGCCTTAGAAGGGCATGTAATGTGAATCCTAATACATGGAGCTGAAAGTATAACATACAATCATGTTAGAATAATATCTTTTAAAAAAAAAAATCAAGAAACAATTTCTAATAGTCTTTTTATTTAAGAGACCTTATTTACAATGCCTGATTTAATAATAAGCAATTTGAATATATCTGAACATCAACAGTATAACTGTATAACTGTAAAGAAATTAAAATTTACAAAAAAAAGAAATAAGTATTGAAATGTAGACCAAAACTTTTCATTTGTTGGTTAACTGTTGTGCACCCTAATGGCTGAATACTTAAGCTTCATTAGTTGTTATTGGTGGAGGATGTAGGAGTCCCCTTGGGCGAAAAAACTGACAATCCTGGTAAATTAAAATTGGATTCAAACACACCTGCCACGTGTGGGGCTCGAAACTCACAACCTCATTGTTGACAGGCTAGTGAAACAGTAGTTGAACTACGTAGATCACTCAGCAACCAAATTCCCTATTAGCTCATAAACCATTATTAAATCAAATAAAGTACAAATTGGACAAATGGTTCAAAAGATAACATCTGGACACTCTTGCCAACATTTCAGTCTATCAATAGCTTCTTTGATCTTGACCTCTGATTATGGACCCCAAAATCAAATTTTGACAAATAGAGACCGATACCATACATAGCCTTTCAGTGCATTCTCTATGGTCAACTACACGTGATGGCAAACAATCCTATCAACTATGAGAGCAATTTGTCCAATAGTCTCAGAGGAGTTGTACAGTCGACTCCACTTAATTGCATAGGTTTCTCCTGCACAAAACCATTTCCCATTCATCTAATGTTAAATTGTCCGGTTATATGCATAGCTCTACAAGTGGCCTTTCGGTTTATTGCATAGAAAATAATTGCTATCTAGATATGCTTAGTTAAAACTGATGAGATTTTTGACCGGAAACGGCAATTTGGTGAGTATATTTTTCTTGAATGCATCATTACTTTCGTTATTATTTCATATTTACTTTTGTGTTATTTAAATAAAGTTTCTTTCGTGTTTATATGATGGAATTTGATTTAAAAATAAACCTTGATGTCTACACAGGTAAAGTTTCCCATGTTCTATTTTAAGCCTTGAGGTCATAAAAATGTCAAACAGGTAATTGTTGTAAAAACACTGACCATTCTATCTCAAAAGGTGTTAATAATTGATTGGATTTCAAACATTGTCTAAAGATTACATTTGGGGTGAATTTTAAAAACAATAACGCCTGCTAATTATCGATCATTATCAAATGTGAACTCTCGTAATTGGGCTTGGGATGTTCTGCATTTATGTTAAATATTACAGGGTATTTATATATGGTTAAAGAATGTTATACATCAATCATTTATTGTTAATATTTTATGAAAAGAGCATTTATTTTTAATTATTATATTTTCTCACTTTAAACACTCATGTCCAGCAAATTACCCGTACAGGGCCCAATTACTGCTTTGCATATACGAAACTAACGAGGTTAAATAAACAGTGTTACATCACTGTGCAAGCTGTAAATACTGCATATCAAAGGCAGTTCATTACACATCTATTGTTAAAATGATTATAAACTGTGTAGTATTGTTAAACAGTTTGTTTTAATCAAAGCGTAACAATGTACATTGTACATACGGGTCATAGAAACAAATTTATTTTTAGAACAATTTGTTTTATTTTCGTATCCCAGGTAAAGGAAACGTCGGTACGCAAATAAACTAAAACAAAATGTGTTTATAATCTTTATTGAAAGTATACAAAATAAAATAACATGTATGACACTAGACATATAACTTTTATTAGAATAAATCAACATTCAATATGTTGTAAGTGATTATAGACTTTCATCTCTCTTCAGGGATTTCCTTTACTCATCTGTTCTATCGATGTTTTTTGACTCCATAATTTGGCATTTCCTATATAACCATACTCTGCTTAATTGCATAATTTTGTCTGACAAATAGGCTATGCAAATAACCGGAATCGACTGTATTCACAAGTTGTCATTGTTACAGTATTATAAAAAAAAAATGGTCAAAGTCCCATAACTCTAGTAAATAAAATGCTTCGCTGGGCGCAGCTTGATACAACCGCAGAGGTCGAACCCTGAACAGTTGGGGCAAGTATGGACACAACATTCAAGCTTGATACAGCTCTGAATTTGGATTGTGATTAAATATTTGACACAGCATAGGTTTCTGACACATGGTTAGATTCAGCATATCAAAGAACCCCATATATTCAATTTTTGTTGAAATCAAACAAAGTTTAATTTTGGACCCCAATTTGGACCAACTTGAAAACTGGGCCAAAAATCAAAAATCTAAATACATGTTTAGATTCAGCATATCAAAGAACCCCATATATTCAATTTTTGTTAAAATCAAACAAAGTTTAATTTTGGACCTTTGGACCTTAATGTAGACCAATTTGAAAACTGGACCCAAAATTAAAAATCTAAATACACGGTTAGATTCGGCATAACAAATAAATAAATGTGGTCAAAGATTTTACAAATCTAATGCCCCATACTGGTCTTCCTTTATAAATATGCATTTCTTTAAACATAATTTAAAAGCAGTGTTAGGGAAGTAACCAAAACGTTGTATTTGGATTACCTCCCTTACACTGTTTTAAATTATCTTAATTGTTCATTAACCATTACTTTATACATAATTTAAAAGCAGTGTAAGGGAGATAATTTCAATGATGTATTTGATTTATCTCCCTTACACTGCTTTAAATTATGTTTTGTACTAAAGTATTTGTCCATTAATGAGGACAACCTTGTTTTTCCCCCTTTTTTGCCCCTAATTCTTAAACGGTTTGAGCAATAACCCCCCAAAGCAAATCCTAACCATCCCTTTGTGGTATGGAAACTTGTAGTATAATTTCAGAGAGATCCATACACCGTTCCACAGTTATTGTCTGGAAACTAGAAAATGCTTATTTTTGGCCCCTTTTTGGCCCCTAATTCCTTAACTGTTGGTACCATAACCCCCAAAATCAATCCCCACCTTCCTTTTGTGGTATTGAACCTTATGGTAAAATTTCATACAGATCCATTCACTCAAACTAAAGTTAGAGTGCGAAAACTAATGCGTATTCGGACAACGACGCCGGACGACGACGACGACGACGACGACGACGCCGCCAACGTCATACCAATATACGACCACAAAAATTTTTTTGCGGTCGTATAAAAATGGTCAAATCAAACTGATGCTACATAATGGTCAAGACAATACGATGAAAAAACAACCCTACCAAGTATGCAAGCTTTATTTCAAAAGGTCTCTGGGTATTGATGTGTTTCTGATGGAAGGACCGGTGGATGGAGGGAAGGATACCATATCAGGGGGACAATGAGAAAGGTATTAGTGGACTCTAAAGTTATCTCTTGTCCTGGCCATATTAATTGACACAGGTAATGCATTTTCTTGTCATTCATTAATGAAGTTGCTGGTTTTTTTTCATGCATATGAAATTATCCAACACATTTATGATTTTTTTGGTCACTATTTATCCTTACCTGATATCCTCGACGTAATGCACCTCTAAGTTCTGACAGAATGTATGGGAAGTATCTAGGACCCAGCGACAAAGATATCTTTACTAGAGTGTCTCTAGCAGTAACTCTTATATCTTTAGCTCGAGATTTAAGAAAATTACAAACTTTCAATAGTATCCTGCAAGATAAAATATACATACATATGGTAAGTAATAATTAAACCAGTATGGTGTTCAGTAAGATGTTCTGTGTTCTCAGCATGCCTGTAAGCTAAGTGAAGTCCTAATATACACTCAAACTTTTTTTTACATATTATTATTAATCAGCTACAGTGGAGTCTAAGTTTAATAGTACTGTGTCTGATCAATCCACAAGCTATAAAATTTTATATTTCGACAGGAAAAAACTGTACTAAGTCAGGTTATTTAGACCATGTGTTGTTTGTTGTTGTTTATCTTAGTTTGTATTTCAGTTTTTCAAGGAGTCAGGTGTTGGTAGATGACGTGGTTTGTTGTACTGTCCAGAATTCTTGAAATGATTTGATTTGCCTCTTAACTTTCCTTGCATTGAAACAAATAAAATGAATTACAAATATTTTTATTACATTAGTTGATGAGTTCAGTGTACTAGTTCTTCGTTTATAAGACACATTTAAAAAAAAAATATTCCTTAAAATATCCTTCATATTCATTCCTGTATGTTAAAACATTTAAATATAAAATGTTTACATAATTGTATCATTGATGTTTAACTTCTCTTTGTTTTCTGAATCAATTCTAGGATAAATTCTGTTAAATGTTGATTTTGCTTAACCTACCATGTAGCAATAATCTTTCTTTGGTTAATCATACAATTACCAGCAGTAGCTAGTGTTATGTTATCCCATGTCGGTATTATTCCTTTCAATCAATATCTCGGTAATAACTTACCCTGGTAAACTCTGTTCTAATGTTTTCTGTGGTAAATTCTGTAATAATTTGACCATGGCCAGAGCTAGTGGCACTCTAAGTATCTCTGTGTCTTCAGGGTAGAGAGACTGACCAGCCATTTTATGTTCTTCATCAGACTTTATCTGAAATTGAAAAAAATACTGATTTAAATTATTTACTTTGATATACAAAAAGTGCAATAAATATTTAGAAAGATCAAAAATAAAAACATCTAAACACAACATTTGTTAAATTTATTCATCCTTTACAATAAAAAAGCAGAAAAATCAATTGTCCCCTATTATTTTCCATTTAGCAAAGCAGACATAAACATGTCTTTCAGATTGGTGGTTGACAACTGGCAATACATTCTCTGCAGAGTTTTGTTTCTTGGCTAAAACTTTAGGAACATATTCCCTTAATTAAATATAGGATGTGCTTTTTGAGACACTGAATTGCACAAACCATCAACTTTGGTACTAATTCATTTCATGCCCCATTTCAGGAAATGCAGTTCCTTGGATAAATATAACAATTCATATTGAATTTTCAAAGCAATTATAAGCACTGAAGGGTAAAGACCTCAAACTTATAATTAAAAATTGAATTGCAATGGAACACATCTAGGAAATATTTTGAATTGGAGTGATCTTTTATTGTCTATAAAGGTATTAGAACTTGAACCTTGATTCGTATACCATTCGCAACTTATGCAATTTAAAAAAAAAAAAACTTTTATTGACAAGTATGGTTATACATATCATTAATTGACTTGAATAATTTTATCTAAGTATATATCATATTAATAAATTGGTTGACATGGGTATGGATACAATCTAAAAAATGTTTAGTTCACTGCACTATATTGTTTGAACTCTCAAAGGTAGAGATAAGGCTTAAATACCCATCAAGCCAGTGATAATAGGGTTCTAATCTTTATCTCTCCCCCCCAAAAAAAAAAACAAAAAACAAAAAAAATCACACATAAATCTATGAACCATAGAAGACAGTATATTTTCTGCTTGTTCATTACCCTTTCTGTCAGAATCCTCTGTAGCTTTGGAATAAATGCTTTACTGATAGCTAAATGTATCCTGGTAGCCATGGCGACAGAACAGACAACTTTGTCAGGGGAAACAGTATCATCATTCTCACTAAAATCTGGAGGTATATCTTCTACTTTATAATCATCCTCTGTATTTACCTCAGTATTAGTTTCTAATAAAATAAATAATCTTACTATTACACTGGTGAATTTTCATGGATTGGAGCATCCTACCTTCATTCACATCTGCATGTTCGGTTCTAACAATTTACCAAGATTTGTGCTGGACACAGCAAAAATTCTAAGTTTAAAAGGGTACAACTAAAAAAAAAAAGAATCTAACAATGTTTTTAATTTCATATTGCTATGATAACCATGTACGTTTCATCTATAAAAAACTCATCAGTGATGCTCGAACCAAAAACATTCAAGAGGCCAAATAAAGCAATGAAGTTGAGGAGCATTGAGGACCCAAAATTCCAAAAGATTTTGCCAAATAAAGCTAAGGTAATTAGTGATGATGTGTTTATAAAGTAGGGATAACATTATAACCACAGAACTAACCTTTTTTCTATATGTCTAGTACTTACCTACTGGTTGTGGTACTCCTTTCTCTGCATATTCTGAATTTCTTAGATCAAAATGAAAGGCATCTAATATAACTACAATTATCCTGAAAAATAACAATGCAAATCATAAATATATTTAAAGTTTTAATAGAATCAAAAAGTCAAAAAAAGCAGAAATCAAAATACTGAACAGAGTTATAAAGATTTGATATTTTTTAATACAAAATATAACAAAACAATTTTATGGATATTTTCAATTATTTGTCTGATATTATTTGATCTTTATATTTTAAATTGTAAGCAATAAGTTTTGTAAATAAACAGGTTTAAATTGTGTACATCCAATGAACATGGACTTTTTTGTATAACAATAGAGGAACTGTTTTTCCTCTTTATCATTCTATTTCATTAACACTGCATACAGGTACTATTCTATATTGCAACAATTTATATGTGTTTGTAAATTATAAAGAAAAATATATAGTCCAGAAATAAAAGTGTAGAAAACCAATTATATGCACTAAAAATGAAATTATGCCAAGCATCAAACTTGCATTTTAATCAACATTAATTTCATTGTGTATGTTATCATCCAATAGTTACATACTCACTTCACAAAATATTTATTTTTATCAATTCTCTTTTGCATCATTGCCAGGTAAAATTTCAAATGGCCTGAATACTGTTGCCATGGTAACAGGCTGCAAAGAGCACCAAGGGCTTCAACAGCAACATCCAAAACACTCTGTACTTTGGAATATTTTTCATCCAACAGGAATGCCTCAGTGATTGGTAGTAAGTATGACACGATGATTTCTTTCTTCACAGGTGTACTCTGGATTAGTTTGACCATTTTACGTAGAGCTCTTGACTTTCGGTGAGTCTGAAATTATGTCAACATTCAACATCAGATGATGTAATTAATTCTTCAAAAGGTTTTTTTAAATATACAAAATGCAACCCATCTGCAGTATAAGCTGCTGAACACTACCAATAAGAAGTGCTACCAAAATTTGTCTGGCAGGCGAGGCATATTTCAGAATTTAAGATGTTAAAGTATATTCAAACATACAGCAGAAATAGAAATTACTAGAACTGTTCAAGTGGTCACAGAGATCTATGGAAGATTTCACATGATATTTGTAACTATTGCAGTTTTGTTAAAATCATCTATACATCTGCTGAATATAGAACACTTTAGCACCTAGGTCCTTTTCAAATAAAACTTTATAGAATATAGAAAGAATGGTAAAATCAACATTTTTCTTTAATTCAAAATATTGGTCACCTGGTTGTTGTTAGTGAAATGAGCTCTAATGATAATTCTAAAATTCATGATAAATTTCAGTACAATGAGATATTTATTTCTTTTTTTACAGCTGTTATCCTAATGCTAGCAAGTTAAAGGTTTGGTTGGCTTGCTTGCTTTGTTTGTATTAAAGTTTGCTCAAGCATTGTAATTAAGATTGACATCTGCAAACAATATAAGTAGGCTGAGTTAAACCTGTTTATGGGTAAATTTGATTATTTGATAATGTCCAATCAAATTTAAATATAATGTATACAAGTTTAACTCTGCCTTTTTATATTGTTTTCATATGTCAATCTTAATTACAATGCTTGAACAAACATTAATACAAACAAAGCAAGCAAGCAAACCAAACCTTTAACTTGCTAGCATTAGGATAACAGCTGTAATGGTTACCTGAATATGTCTAATATTTTCAAAGAAGTCTGCTTCAATGTCTTTTTCTTTCAGCAATCCCAGGTCTGTGAACATTGGATTTTTAGGAAATGCCTCAACTAATTTGGACAACAGAAGGATAAACTCATGTCTTATATTCTGAAATACATAAAGCATTTAAATATTAGTGGTAAAAATTAATGTTAACTGAAAACAATTTCCTTTGCCTTAAAAAATATATTTTAAACATTTTAACACTTAGAATAAACTTTCTTTCTTTTGCTCCCATATGTTTGGCAAATAAAAAATTTCATGCCATACCATGCATTAATATCATATATTACTTTTTTATATATTTCACTGTAAACAATCTAATTTAAAAAATTAAAAAAGGAAAGTCCATGTAAAATGAACATGGTAGAAATGAGTAAGGGGTACTCTAATAAAAATGCCACTTTTGTCTATAACCTGAATTTGAATTCTCTAAGTCAGTTAACAGATGAAACTTAACTTTCACAATAAAAAATTAAATATCTTTTATATCTTACTTCAACCAATAATTTTGGCTGCAGTAAAATTTCATCAATGAATAGATTAAAATTCAAACAATCAAACAGAACACTGTTAACAAAAATATATATATTGTACCTCATCTTTATTCTTGACTCCTTTTTTTATCTCTGGTACCAAACTTTGTGCAATAATATCCCTGTAAGCATCCTGATCATATTCAATGCTGCTGAACTGTGTAACCATAGTAACCAAACAATTTGTAGCATTATCTCTTAAAGACAGATCATCAACCTAAAAGAAGAACAAATGTAAGTAACGGTAAATTATAACCTGTTTGGATCTTTTTTTCTATCTGTTACATTCGAGGGCTTTTTTTGGGACTGACATTAATTTTGTGGCAGTTGACCCTGTCACATCAGACATATAATCACGTTTGATCTTGATGTCAAATATTTTCTATTGGGACAGAAATGTTTTTAGGGTCAAATGTTATATTTTTATTAAATGTTTGACAAATTTGATATGCATGAATTTATCTATTTGATTGTCAGAAATATGTGAAAAAAGATATATGCAACTCTCAATCCATTTGAAAATGATTGATTGATTGTTGCTGCCTTAACCTCAAGCGGCACATTTCAAAAAGAAGTATGGAGGTCATATGATTGATATGATAGAGAGAAAACATATATTCAAACCGGCTTTGCAAAGCAAAATTCATCTAAATGTTTATCCAAATTAGATATCTATTATAACCACCAATTACTAGTGTTAAGCTGAATGTCAATGGCTATACAGGATGAATTCTCAATACAGTAAAGGTCAAATATACAGTTCCATCGTCATGGTTAATCTTTAAAATTATTCGGTCACTGCATGAATATGTGTGAATATTGTACCCAATAGATTTTTATATTGCAAGAACATAAATTTCAACTTTCTTACCATTTTGATAAAGAAACAGCAGTTGACTAACACAGCATGTAAGAACCGTGTATCTAGCGATGTCATTGATTTAATGGTAGAGTTGACCTCTCTGAACCCAGCAAGGCGTCGTAAATAGTCTGGTTCTTCAACTCGCTTTGGATCCCAAGAATTCAACTGAAAGATAACAATAAAACCATGAAAAATTAAGAAACTTCATTTATGTATTTTTCAAACTGAGTTTGATATGCTAAAATAAGTATGTGTATTGTGTGCGTTTTAATACTAAAAGTAACCATAAGTTCAGTCATAAATCGACAATATCGACAAATATTTTTTTATAATTTTATCATTTGAGATTTAATAATAACCACACATGGACCCTTATCATTACAAGCCTCAAGATACTGAAAGCTATATAAAACACATTGTCCTATCAAAAATTTATTTAATATATCTAAAGACAAAGCTTTTTCACAATACATGTTACAACATGATCTGAGATGGTATGTCACTTACACGAGAACCAATTTAATTCATAGTTTGATTGATAAAAGATTTAGCTTTATTTGATTCTTTTTCTATTCAATGAGGATTACCTCAAGTTGAAAAACTAGGACTCACTCTCCTCAACTCTATGATATAATTTATTAATACAAACCTCAGTAACCACTGATGCAATCTTTTCCATCGTCTCATTACCAGAGCTAATCACCTGAAATACAGTTAATATATAATGTAATTTTTTAGAATATTGAAATTGCTATGACTAGCTCCTATATGCTGCAGGCAATTTATAAACAAAAATATCAACAAGAATGCAAAAGTTGTCTTGCTATCAAAGCATAACATTTCTGGGCCTTTCATAGTTGACTATGCGGTTTGGGTTTTGTTCATTGTTGAAGGCCGTACAGTGACCTATAGTTGTAAACTTCTATGTCATTTGGTATCTGGTGGAGGGAGAGTTGTCTCATTGGCAATCATACCACATCTTCCAATTTTTATATATACCCTAGAAGTAATTCTAAGTAAAAGAAAAATAAAAAGCAGGTGTTAGACAGATCCCAAAAGCACTTTATATTACAGCTCATCACTACCAAACTGATGACAAAATATGAAGTAATTCTGATTGGAAGTAATTGAGAGATTTTAAAGTATCTGAAAACAGGAAGTAGGTGTCTGACAGAAATGAAAAGTGCTCACATATTACAACATGTCAATACCAAGCTGTTGGCCAAATATGAAGTCATTCAGTTCAGTAGTACTGGATAAATGTGTGAAGAAAACATTTATGTTCATTCAACATGATGTAAAATCCAAACCGTTGGCAAACAGGAAGAAGATATCCGACAGATAAAACAAGAATTTGTCCATAGTACACGGATGCCCCACTCGGTTAGTTTAGTGGACTGTGAAATTGGGGTCAAAACTCTAATTTGGCATTAAAATTAGAAAGATCATATCATAGGGAACATGTGTACTTAGTTTCAAGTTGATTGGACTTCAACTTCATCAAAAACCACCTTGACCAAAAACTTTAACCTGAAGCGGGACAGACGGACAAACGGACAGACGAACGAATGGATGAACGAAAGAATGGACGCACAGACCGTCAAAACATAATGCCCCTCTACTATCGTAGGTGGGGCATAAAAAGTGCTTATATGTTACATCATTGTCAAGGTGCTGACTAAATATGAAATCATTCTTTTTAGCAGTCCCTGAGAAGAAAGGAAATATTTGTCGGAAAACAGATGAGCAGACTAAGAACAATAGAGAAGTAAGTGTTCAACAGATTTATAAAGTGTTCACACATAACAACTCATCACTGTCAAGAAACATAGCAAATTTGAAATCCTTCTATTCAGTTGTACTGGAGAAATGTGTGACGAAATTTTTTATGTGTTAAGCATATTGGAAAATCAAAAGAAATTGCATGCAGGAAGTAGGTGTTCAACAGATTCAAAACAATGCTCACACATTACAATTCATCACTATTAAGTGGCTGTTTAAAACAAATGAAAAACTTTAATTTTTACCTCTAAAATGCTACAAATTAATGTTCTTCCTTGACGACTCTGTATGTGTCCACATAAGTTACATATGGATCTGAAAAAAAAAACCCAACTGTCTTACTACATGTATATTTGCTTAACTGACAATAAAAGCTGTTATTTAAAATTAAAAATATCAAAACACACTTTTTCCAAAACTCATCATTGTAGGACTCAATATTAATATTAACCTTCTTATTCAGTACAAGAAACATGCAGAAAACAGATATTGTGTATAATTACCTGTAAAAATCCTGTTTATTGTCAACTATTTTCAGTAGATTTCTAACACTCTTCAAAATATCATTTTCTACCTTCTGAAATATCATATAAATTCTTTCAATTAATAAAGTCTCATAATACAACAAATAAAGATGGGAAATCACATGTATTCTATCTTCTGCAATATGAGTATGAAGAGCAAATCTTAACTTAGAAACACAGCAAAAGTATTGCAGTAAATCATTTAATCTAAATATTCATTTTCATAAGGTTTCAATTAGGATAAAGGGACAATTATTCTTTTTGAAAATTTAAAAACAAATACTAAAAACATGCAGTAAAATTGTAAAATATTTCCCTTCAGTCACAATTTTGGCTTTTGCAAAATTAGACAATTCCTTATGTACCAAATAAATTGAAAGTTTAGCATAACATTATTGATGAAGATAGCTATTGAAATATAGCAATCCTGATAATAAGCCTTTCATACAAAATAAGTATTAACAGGATCATCGCGGTTAGAAGTGACATATATTTAAACACATGCTGGCAATAATTGAATACTGAATACAGAACTAGGTCATAACTTCACCAGTAAATTTTAACTAATTGAACGTCTTAATGAGCATATTTTTCTCACAATTCTAAAGTGATATATATATATATATATATATATATATATATATATATATATATATATATATATAAGTCTAGAGATTTGCACAACGATACTAATATAAGATGGTATTATACGAAGATGTTGTTAATAAATCGTGTTGACAAATATTTCGGCTTAACAAATAGCCTTCTTCGGTGTCAATTATTTTAAAAATACATCAGTATTTTTAAAATAATTGACACCGAAGAAGGCTATTTGTTAAGCCGAAATATTTGTCAACACGATTTATTAACAACATCTTCGTATAATACCATCTTATATTAGTATCGTTGTGCAAATCTCTAGACTTATATAATTTTTTCCTTATCTGCACAGTATCGTCTATTCTAGACGATCCGGTACATAGTAAATTTGCTGGTTGGTCCTTTTTATAGACTTCTATATATATATATATATATATATATACCAGTATATCTATATCTTGTAAATTATGTTAAAATATTTTTAAATGCCAAAATAGAGAAAAACTGTGATTAGACATAACATATTTTGTATAAAACACTAACCTGTGATCTGTATAGTCCTTCACTCAGGAACGGTAATAACAATGTAACTAGTGTAGAACACTGTGATTGGTCAGTCACAAACTCACTTAATCTATTATGATAAAATCATGTTACAGTAAACTTGAATTACCTGTTTGTAATTGCGATATTCAAATTGATTCAAATTCAGAACAAATAAGAAAATAAGACAATAGATACACATTAACATGAATAAATAAATGATATTTAAACAGCCACCCAATTTTTTCCCCCATCTCATTTCAGATTTTTCTAATAATTTAGACATCAAACGTTTGAACAAAGTAAAGATTAATTATTATTGAAGAAGCTCCAGCATGAATATTTAAACTGTTCCTGCAGCAGACACGATGGTAGACAGCTGGACAGGGAGAAACATTACCCTCTGCAACCTTGCAGCACAAAATAGATTAAGGTGTACATCTGTCAAATCTGCCTACAGTTATATATCACCTTTAAACTGACCTTGACAATATTTCCAGTTCTTTTGATAAATGTTTATCTTTAAGTTTCACTCCTATCACTGTGCTCTGTATGTGTGACAGAATGGCTGGAACATGTGGAACCAGTAACTTCATTCCTAAATGTATGTCATCTAAAACAATAATGAAATAGGAGAATCATATAACTATTTATTTCTAAATTTATGTCTAAATATGTCTCTTTCTTTATCATAATAAGTTATAAATTACAGTTTTGGTGATAAATTATTATCTGTGTATGGATGGCTGTTTAACGTCCGTTGCAAATCAAATGCATATTCAGGACAAGAACATGATTATGTGATATGAAATGTAAACCCTGTGTTGTACTAGACATACATGCTGATTCCAATTTTAATGTGCTAGTTCACAAGTCCAGTGGAAGACATGTCACCTTACCCATCTACATAATTCTGACTCTGAACCTACCAGTCTTTGCTCTACCTCCTAAATGCTGCATGCTTAGCGGAGAAGCCTTTGGTTTGACCCAGCAAGGGTTTCGAACCCACATCCATCCGCACCAGAGGAGAGCTTGCTATCACAAGACTACAGAGGGAATAGTTATTATCTAAAGTTTGTCGTTTCAATTGTTAAAAGAACAAAACAAAACAAAACTTTTTTTTAAAGATTTTGTATCATTACCTTGAATATCTTGCTTTAGATTGCCACAGAAACATGATCCCACGGCCAATGGTGATGTATCCTCCTCAGAAACTAGAAGATTATATACAATCTGTACAATATATTGTTTAATGTCAAAGCTGGCTTCCTGTACATTCAGTAATTTAAAAATGTTAACCAGAGGGTAGTTGGTGTTGTCATCTCCTTTCAGTTTCACCAGCAGTAAATAATACCTAAAATATAAAATGAAAATTTCTGTTTCTTTATATTGAGAAAAAATAACATTTAATTGTAACAAGTATAAGCAGATCTAAAAATTACTGTATTGGCAGATCTACATTTTCTGATTCAGTATACTGTAAATTCAGAAATTATTGCATGCATTTATTATTGTGATAATTGAAAAACGGACAAAAATATTAGCTTAACTATTGCGATTTCAGGAAAATCTGCATACATATTTATGTAACAGATATAACTAGAAGCTCTCAAGAGCCTGTGTCGCTCACCTGTATTTACTGATGCTTTGGAAATCATGTAAAATAAAGTTAAAATCATAATTAATAGTATTAGATATTAGATATTATAATGATATCTAAGATAATAACAAAAAACTGCAAAATTTTTGTAAAATTACTAGCTCAGGGGCAGCAACCCAACAACGGGTTGTCGGATTCGTCTAAAAATTTTCAGGGCAGATAAATCTAAATCTGATGAACATTTTTGACTCCTGTCAGATTTGCTCTAAATGCTTTAGTTTTAGAGATATAAACCAAAAACTGCATTTTACCCCTATGTTCTATTTTTAACCAAGTCGGCCATGATGGTTGGAAGTCGGGGTCATCGGACAAATATTTTAAACTAGATACCCTAATAATGATTATGGCCAAGTATGGTTAAATTTGTCTCAGTAGTTTCAGAGAAGAAGATTTTTGTAAAAGATTACAAAAATTTACAAAAAATTGTTAAAAATTGACTATTAAGGGCAATAACTCCTAAAGGGGTCGACTGACAATTTTGGTCATAACAACTTATTTGTAGATCTTACTTTGCTGAACATTATTGCTGTTTACAGTTTATCTCTATCTATAATAATATTCAAGATAATAACCAATAAAATGCTCCGCAGGGCGCAGCTTGATACGACCGCAGAGGTCGAACCCTGAACAGTTGGGGCAAGTATGGACACAACATTCAAGCTTGATACAGCTTTGCATTTGGATTGTGATTAAATATTTGACACAGCATAGGTTTCTAACACAGAATGAATGTGGTGACAGGTCTAAGAACTTAAAAATTTTAAATTGGACATTCACCTATTATGGTCCAATATCCAAAATCTAAATACATGGTTAGATTCAGCATATCAAAGAACCCCATGAATTCAATTTTTGATGAATCAAACAAAGTTTAATTTTGGACCCTTTTGACCTCAATGTGGACAAAGTTGATAACGGGGCCCAAAAATCAAAAATCTAAATACATGGTTAGATTCAGCATATCAAAGAACCCCATATATTCAATTTTTGTTGAAATCAAACAAAGTTTAATTTTGGACCCCGATTTGGACCATCTTGAAAACTGGGCCCATAATCAAAAATCTAAATACATGTTTAGATTCAGCATATCAAAGAACCCTAAGAATTCAATTTTTGTTAAAATCAAACTAAGTTTAATTTTGGACCCTTTGGACCTTAATGTAGACCAATTTGAAAACGGAACCAAAAATTAAGAATCTAAATACACGGTTAGATTCAGCATATTAAAGAACCCCAATAATTCAATTTTTGATGAAATCAAACAAAGTTTAATTTTGGACCCTTTGGACCTCAATGTGGACCAATTTAAAAACGGGGCCCAAAATCCAAAAACTAAATACACGGTTAGATTCAGCATATTAAAGAACCCCAAGAATTCAAGAATAAAACCCCATTGAAATTGGTCAAGAAATAAGCAATTTATACGAAGTATCTTCTTTTGCACAATACTGTGCAATTAAATATTTCTTGCTATTGCGCAATACTGTACATTTGACAATTTCTTGCTATTGCGCAATATTGTGCTATTGGATATTTCTTGATATTGCGCAATACTGTGCAATTGAAGATTTCTTGCTATTGTGCAATACTGTGCAATTGAAAATTTCTTGCTATTGCACAATACTTATTATATAATAATTTACACATCCTGTTTGGTGTGTATCTCCTACCATATCATTATTATTTGCTTTTAAATATAAATCAGAAATAACCAACTTAAAATGGAAAATTTTAAAAGAAAAAAAAAAGGAAAAAAAGAACAAAAAGGAAACCCCCCCCCCCCCAAATTTTTTGAACCCCTTATGATTCATCACCCCCAAAGTCAATCCCAGCCTTCCCTTTGTGGTATGGTACCTTGCAGTACAATTTCAGAGAGATCCATACACTTGAACACAAGTTATTGTCTGGAAACTAGAAAAATGCTTATTTTTGGCCCCTTTTTGGCCCCCAATTCCTAAACATTTTGGCAATTACCCCCAAACTCAATTCCAGCTTTCCCTTTGTGATATGGAACCTTGTAGTACAATTTCAGAAAGATCCATATACTTACACACAAGTTATTGTCATGAAACTAGAAAAATGCTTGTTTTTTGCCCCTTTTTTGGCCCCTAATTCCTAAAATTTTGAGGCAATTACCCCCAAAATCAATCCCAGCATTCCTTTTGTGATATGGAACCTTGTGGTACAATATCAGAGAGATCCATACACTAACACACAAGTTATGTCTGGAAGTTACAAAAATGCTTATTTTTGGCCCCTAATTCCTTTACTGTTGGTACCATAACCCCCAAAATCAATCCCAACCTTCCTTTTGTGGTATTGAACCTTGTGGTAAAATTTCATAGAGATCCATTCACTTAAACTAAAGTTAGAGTGCGAAAACCAATGTGTCTTCGGACGACGACGACGACGACGACGACGACGACGCCAACGTCATACCAATATACGACCACAAAATTTTTTTTGCGGTCGTATAAAAACGGCAAAATTTCCTTAAAATTACCAACCCAACAACAGGTTGTCAGATTTGTCTGAAAATATCAGGGCAGATAGATCTTGACCTGATAATCAGTTTTACCCTATGTCAGATTTACTCTAAATGCTTTAGTTTCAGAGATATAAGCCAAAATCTACATTTTACCCCTATGTTCTATTTTTAGCCATGGCGGCCATCTTGGTTGGTTGGCGGGGTCATCGGACACATTTTTTAAACTAGATACCCTAATGATGATTGTGGCCAAGTTTGGTTAAATTTGGCCCAGTGGTTTCAGAATAGAAGATTTTTGTAAAAAGCTAATGACGACGGACATTTTTCGAGAAATTTACCCTATGTAAACATTCCATTGTTCATTAAAATGCATTGTACAAGGCCATGAAAGATTTAACTGTCCCATCTAAGGCACAAACCGTCAACAAAAAAATAGCCAAAATAACCAAAAATACATTGTTGTAAATCAGGAAATGTTCTTGTTTACATTTTTGTAGATTTCGATTACTATTTTCTGTTAGTACATATGAAGAAATTGATCTACTCATGAATACACTGTCCTGAATACCCATTGCAACTTTCCATTCAACATTAAGCAAACAACCAAATACCAATCATAATAATACTATGTCTGTAAAGGAACCTCTAAAAATGAATAGTTAACAGTTTATAGTTTGTTCTTATGTTGTGCTGTTACACTACTGTCCAAGGTAATGTGGAGGGTTGAGTGTTCACAAACTTGTTATCTCCGTCACATTCTGTATATGGCTGTCCCAAGTTAGGAGCCACTAATTCAGTGGTTTTTGTTAGACACTGTCCATCATATATGTTTATAGTTTATAGTTTTGTACATAAATCAGGCAGTTAGTTTTCTATTTTAAATTTGTTTTACAATGGCCGTACAGAGACCTATAGTTGTTTATATCTATGTCATTTGGTCTCTGTTGGATAGATCAAGGAAAATGTGAACTTTTATTGACAATTATATTTACCTGCTATGCTGAGACCATAGATTAAACAGTTTCATCAAAGGAGTAGGCTGATGTATACCTTCATATGTTAACTTTGACAGCTGAAAGTATAAAGTGAACAACTACTAGTATCATTTCCACATATAAGTAAACAGTAGATCATGGAAGTAAGGGATTACTGATATGGCTATAGCAGTGGTAAATTATGATTGGATTACTTAATCATATTAGCATTTTGCTTACATATGATTATTCAAATCAGCTGACTTTTTTAATAAGCAAAAGTTATGAGAGGCTGTCTTGACTCACAGTGATTTTGTCCATATCATACAGAGAAAGAGCTTGTTCATCGCTAGGCCTTTGGGAAATCTTTAGATGTTTATTACGATTAAATTGTTATATTGCAGTTTGAATAGATGTTGACCCTGCCTTTTAAGGTGGTACCTAACACTACAGGGAGATAACTCTGTAAAAATCAGCTAAACGTTTTAATTACATTGTATTGTTAAGGAAATATTAAGCTTCTCAATGATCAAAATTAGTGTTTGTCAAACTGCTATATAACCAATGAAATTTTTCTGATAAAGTGGTTGGTTCAAATTTTTTGAAATTTTATATTTTTGTCAAAGGGTCAAAGTAAACATTTTGTCAAAATTTTATGAAAATTAAACGAGCCAAATTAATATTAGTCAAGGTGTTGGGTACCACCTTAAATGTCTATTTTGGTAAACTTATGTCGTTAGGTTGTAGTATTACCTTCACCTGAAATTATATGTGACATGAAAACAATTCTATTAAAGGGTACAACTTACTTGTGGCCATACAGCAACTGTGAATACTGCCTCTATTTCTCTTTCTGTAAACTTGTAATTAATAAACTCTTCAAAGAACTGCAAGTAAAGGATAGCAGTATTTGTTCTATTTATGTAAATATAAATATTTAAAGTCATTTTAAATGTTTCAAACTACTTATTCATCTAGTATAAGAATATCTAGTAAAGGAACAATTCTAAAATCTATTTGGTTCCTAATTCAATAAATTCTATATCAGTTTCAAACACCATCAAATGCTTATCCAGATTGTAACTGCTAAAATATAACAAGCATTGGCTCTAAAAACCCTATGAAATCTTGCTACATAAAGTTTTAAATTTTCGCTGGTACAATATATCTTTCAGGGTTTCCAAAAGGAATTGCCATTAACCCATTTTGAAAAAAATATCATCATTATTGTGAAAATTATTGTGAAAAAATTTAACAGTTCAACTTCATCCATCTACAAATGTACTTTATTCCTTTTGGGTTTCTCTTGACTTTTTCCCATTATCAGTCAACACTCGTTTTTTTAACCTTAAATTGTTCACAAATTTTTATTGACAGAAAATCTATAGATTGTAAAAAGGTACCAACTTACTTGTGTTATCGTGCAAATACCCATATTTCTTATGTTCTTTAAAAGTGACACAACAGTTGGTGACATGTCATCTCTACGTTCAAGACAGGTCATTGGTGTTGCCAGGACACCTAACAAAATCTTTAGCAAGGAGTCAAGGTAGTCTTCCATCCTGTGGCTTAATTTACTGATAACCAATTCCACTGAATGAAGACATCTGAAATAAAGATTTATCAAAAATAGAAAAGTTTTTTCTGTTCCTGTAAGAAAGCAGTCACAAATAAATATGGCATATTTTTGGTGTTGCAAGTATTTGGTCTTTAGTTACATGATGAAAATTATTCTAGAGTTTTCTCTACAGGGCCTTTCAGCTGCATGGTAATGTGATGCTATAATTCACATAAAAAGATGCGTTTTTAAATGTCCTTGTTAACCAGGTTGCTATATGAAATTTTAGTGCAAAACAAAGTTCCAGAAACATGTATCAACCTCATGAAAGTTCGTATTGTAAGTTTTTTTGTAATAAATAATGCTTAGAAATGGTAAATGACAGACGATGATACTTTATTGTTTTCACCTTTATCTTTTGTGATAGTGATGTCTGTCCATTGACCTCTGATTTTTTTGTTTGCTCCCTTTGAATCTTATTTAATATATGTTTGAAAGTATACCTAACACTGAAAAAGTTGGAATTAAAATAAAGGGAATATAAAAATGTTCATACCATACCAAACCAGCATACATAATACATACAAAATAGAGGAAAATATTATACATAAGCTTGAATTGACAAATGAATGGATAAAAATTATTACAGATAATTCAAAATGCACTCAATTTTAAAGTGTGTAATACATATATTACTTATTAAAAAAAAAAACATACACTTACCCTGACATTTTCCTCATTGGTGTAACAGAAGAAAGATCTATATTTGCTATGATATTCTGCACAAGGTTCAAAGGATCCTCTGAAATAATACCAATATTTGTTTTTGATTACTTCCACAAAAAAATAAAAGAAATACATTTATCTCCAATAAAGAATAATAGTCAGATTGAATCTTCAGTTTTGGACCAGGTACATCTCTATTAGCTTGAGCCTCACATTTTCCTGAATATTCTCAAATTTGTTCATAAAAACAATTTGTGTGAATTTCTAAATTTGCACAAGAAACCCTGTTTTCTATAAAAAGATTGCAAATAAAACAAAACACTCATATAGATTAACTTTGTTTATATAAATTAGATAATACTATAACATTGATTTTCCAGAGAAAAAAAGTGGATTCTAGTCCTATAATTGTAATTGGTAAAAATATTTTACTCACCTGAAACATAACTTTGAAACGAAGAGAAGACCATATCTAGGAAAACACAAATTTCCTTTGATTGACATCCCATAATAAATCTAAATACAATAGTTCTACGGAAATTACTCTTTGATTTTCCAGACGAATCTTTTCCAGTTTTACTCAACATTTTACCGTATAGAATTCTGAAATGAAATTTTAATGATATTTGTAATTATCTTAATCATTCTAGTGAGTATAATAGCTTTATGTATACTAGAAGTATAATTTTAGGTAATGATTATGGGTAAAGTCAACTCTGACCTTTAATGTGACTGAATACAATGCAAGGATCTGTGCAGGTGAATTTACAGACACATCTCTAGTATGTAGGTTTAAGCTTCATTATGAAACCAATCTTTTATAAAATTATGAACTCCATATCTTCATAAATTTAACAACAGAAGCCTGATCTATATACAATATTACCAGTCTATCATGACTAGAAGTTTCTTTGCTCTTTAATCTCTGATACTAATGTTCATAGATAAAAATTACTGGACAGGCAATAAGAAATAGAGAACAGGAGGACTGGTCTATTTTTCAATCATACTCCCTTAACAAAAAGAAAACTGTATATTTTCTACCTACACTTACTTATCTCAATATCTCTGTTTATTAACATGCCAAAGTTCTTCTTTACTAATGCTCACCTCATAAAAAACATACCGAAGTTCTCTCAACTACACATCACCTCATAAGAACAGGCCAAAGTTCTTCTCTACTAATACTCACCTCATAAGAACAGGCCAAAGTTCCTCTCTACTAATACTCACCTCATAAAAAACAGGCCAAAGTTCTTATCTACTTATAATCACCTCTTAAGAACAGGCCCAAGTTCTTCTCTACTAATACCAACCTCATAAGAACAGGCCATACTTCCTCTCTACTAATACTCACCTCATAAAAAAAGGCCAAAGTTCTTCTCTACTAATACTCACCTCATAAGAACAGGCCAAAGTTCCTCTCTACTAATACTCACCACATAAGAACAGGCCAAATTTCTTCTCTACTAATATTCACCACATAAGAACAGGCCAAAGTTCGTCTCTACTAATACTCACCACATAAGAACAGGCCAAAGTTCGTCTCTACTAATACTCACCTCATAAGAACAGGCATAAGTTCTTCTTACTAATACTCACCTCATAAGAACAGGCATAAGTTCTTCTCTGTGTTCTTCCCTTACCACACTACTTTCTGCATCCAAACTGAATGCTACAATCTCATTTTTAAATGATTTATCATCCAACAATCTTTCAAAATTTTCCCTGCAAACATTAATATAATTTTTTTTATATGAATGCATTAGGCTAGCGTTCTATAAATGTGTAAAGTTTCATCAATATCCATCTCTAAATGCATATCCTCAGGTAGTGCTTTACAGCTGTGGAAAATTTCAACATTATTCATCCAGTTGTTTAGAAGGAATTGTTTCTTACACGAGACTATTGCTGTGTATTCATTCATTTTTCGTGGGTACAACTTACGTTGATTGAGGAGAATTTGCATTTTCGTGGATATCTGATTTCATGGTTTTGTCAAAGTCTGCATATATTCATATAGAAAATTTGTAATTTGTTTCAAATTCCTGGTTCGTCTGTACCCATGAAATCCATAAAAATTGGTACCCAACAAATATCAATGAATCCACAGGGGCACATATTGCAATTTTAAAGTAAGTCAATTCGATTATATCCCCTTTAACAGCAGCAAGCAGTGTTAGGTTTCATCAATATCTGTCTAGCCATTCAGACAGACAGACAGAATGTTGCAAAAATTTTCTGTCTGTGTTCATTAAGTACACCTGCATTTTAAAAGATCTTATACACATTTTTTTTTAAACAGAGCTATTCTACAATTCTAAGTATACACTACAGTTCCTGTGGTTTTTCCTTTTTCATAAATATATATTTGATTTATCCTATGCCAATGTCAGCTGAATAAATGATAAAAGTCCAGATAGTCAATAACAATGATAATTATTCAGAAACTATGTTCTGTTATCTAAACAATAAACAAATAATGAAGGCTAACACCAATGAGACAGTGACCTTACAACATGAGTTTATCAAAATTAGACATCACCATAAGGTGAAAATAACATTAACAATAATTTAAATCTTCAAGCATACAAAAGTTAAGAATGTATTCAACAAAACTATTAATGACAAACAACAATTGAAAATAACAAAATAAAGCTTACTTTCAAGTCATTTTCAAATTAAAATATACTTTTCACACTTACCTGTAAGGTACAAGATACTGTGGTTTATATGTCATTATACACTTGAACACAACTCTTTGTATTTCCCCATTCTTATGTTGTAAAAGCTGAAATAAATTTTAAAAAAATCAACACCTGTAACATATTGCTGTTTATTCAAAGGAAAAATAAAAATGCAAATCTGGTAAGAATAATATTATCATAGAAGACATGTTGTCAAATCTATATCGTAGACTAAACCATTTGTTCTGTACAACTTTGAACCAGTATATTTGTTTTACCTCCCAGTAGGTGAAATAATTTTCATTTAATTATACTTGGCTAGTTTTATTCATGATTCAAGAAATTAGCAAAGGGCTTGACAGTAAACTGATCTCATATCTCAGAAAAAAAGTTTATTTACCCAAACTCAACTTTTATGTCATTATTATGCAAAACTTTCATTTGCAATAGTTCATCTTCGGGTACATTTTACGTAACAGGACGGAGGAAAGAGAACAAAAAAAAAATTCTTGATAAAAGAAAAAAAATCCTTATATACTAAATCATGATTTAGGACCTCACATACTTATTAAAAGCAACATCAATGTCTATCATATGTACTTGTTTTTAAATGGTACTAATCATTAAAATTTTAAGAAGATGCTTATGCCATCATCTTGACACTGTAGAAAAACAACACATGTCTTGCCTACTATGAAAATAATTGCAGGTGAGATAGTCCCACCTAAACTAATATTAAAATTTTACTAATATCTGTTATAATGAATTAACAATAAGCAATCTTTGTAAACAAATAAAGTCACCTGTAATATTGACTTATCTTAGGTACTAAAATCTAAATAATCAGCAATAAACAAACCTCCATATAAATATTCCTAAGTTCTGCCTCTTTGTACAGTGACTTTGGATTAGTGAACAGTGACAACAACTGTAGCTGTGATAACAGAGTACTGCAATATACAACACAGAATAATTATAATGTCAGGGAGAAATGTTTTATGTTTAGCTTCAAATCATAAATAAGACAGATACTAAAACTTAATTGTCTATAGGATTCTTAGAATAATCCTCTTAGGTTCAACATTTTAATAGCAACACAGCCATATCTAACACCTATAGATATCTACTTTCAATAGCTGATGGTATCTTGGAAACGTTAAGGGGGCTCTAATAAGGGATGTTTTGTATGAATACTTATTTCAAGTAATATTAATCATTGCTATTATTATATAACTATTTTTCATTCTCGCTATTTTGCGTATTTTTCCTTTGATCTTTTTTTGGGATAATTTTCTATATCACGCTACTTGCTTGAGATAGAAAATTATCGTCAGAAACTAATAGCACACGTGATGTTGTCAATGTAAACATCAACGACGTCGTAGGCAAAATATCAATAAACAAATTATCAATGGGTTTTCATACTCAAGGAGGTTTCTCTGCCACATCTCATCTCAGGGCTGTCGCCCTTCGTTGAGATTGTAGCTGAGAAACACCCTCTCGTTTGAAAAACCATCGATAATCTATAATTATCCACGATCATTGGAAATGTTATCAAAAAAGTGAATATAGTCGTGAGTGAAGAAATTAGCTAATTTTATTTGATTCTCCATTTTGGTATCTTCTGCTTCTTTTAAGGGTAAGTGTTTATTTCGTACAATTAACATGCATATTAACTATTGGTGACTTTTGTTTTTTATATTGTTAACAAAATTTGTTTCTAAAATAAATGTTAATTGATGATTGATTTTATGTGAAACCAACAATTTTAGATAAAACACACCACCATTGGTTATTGGGAGAGATTATGGAGGATCATTTGACCTTTAAAGGAGACATATTTTATGAGAGAAATTTAATGCTAATAGGGGAGTAAGTATGGGAAGTTTCTATCTGCACCTTGTAAAAGTAACGAAGTAAAGTCAAGATATATGTATCATTTATATGTATACTTTTGATTTTATGCATTAATTTAGATAAAAGAATTAGCAAGAATTTTTAAAAACTGTGGAATCATTGTCATTAGTGGGATATCAGTTTTTGTTGATTTCATAAAGATAGGTAAACCACGAATTCATATGTTCAACGAAATACAAATTTTCTTTAGGCTTGTATGAAGACTGGCAAAACCATGAAGTCAAATATCTACGAAAATACAGTTGTTCGTAGATCCATGAAAATTGGTATCCATGAAAAAATAAATGAATCGACAGTATGTTATTTACATATAATTTTGATAGTATTCACTGATTTTGATAAAATTTAGAAGGTGAAAAAATTAAGTCATATGTATCCTTATGATTTTAAAGTACTGATAAGTAAGTGTGACACATACAGCTGTTATTTTTACTATTCACTCTCAGTTTTTTTTTTAACTTATCAGAAAATTTTGTGTAAACACTGCATGTTCTTAAGCAAATGATAAATGTGCAGTTTTCTTATTTTTTGTGATTAATGCTGTCATACAAAAATTAAAAAAATGTTGAAATCATAGAACCTTGTGACATGCTTTCTTGACTTTTTCTTTTCTCCTTTCAGTTCTTTATCTGTTTTTTCCTCTGTCTCATCATCTTCCATCTTGTCATCATCTTCAGGTTTGTCTTTTAGAAGATTTTGTGATCGTGCAAATATATCATCCACTGCATAATATTCTTCTCTAAACAAAGAAAAAGACTAAGATTTGTCAATATATAGCTTCATTGATTTGGAATATAAAAATATAGAATTAAAGGCAAGTCAAACTGTCCTTCTCCAATATATCTTTTCTCCTTTTTTCTTCATTCAATATTATGAATTCCTATATGTTTTATACCATCTTTTTTTTCAAAATGGTGCGACTTGATAGTGTAAAGTCTATATGGGCATATTTAAAGTGTATCACTTAGCATCTGACAGAATAAAATCAAAATGGCAAAATAATTTATCTGAAGTAAAATATCTTTCACTAACATCGATTGAATATATTCCTGAACCATGCAGCTCTATTATCAGAGTGATAATTTTACCTATATATGAATAGCTTCCATATAATGACATGTGTTAGTCAATGTTTACTATCTTCTATGAAAGCCTTGTTTGATCATGAAGACAGTATTCAAACACTTTATTACTGGGTTGCTGTCTCCTTGATATTCACCCCACATCTTTAATTGCCATTTAGACAAAAAATTAAAATACATTTTTTTTGTTTCAAACAGTTATAAAAGGGGAATAATGAAATACTTTTTAGCTGTTAGTCATCAGCTTGCTTCAATTTAGTCAAAATAAGATCAAAAACATTCCAAATGAATTACTGACTTGCAAGTGAAAAATTCAACTTCTGTTGAACCCGTATTCATGTAACCCTAACTTGACCTTAAGTTGAAGATGGGTTACGCATGCCCTATGCGTGTTCAGTTATTAAAAAGAAAAGAATGTCAACATTGAAAAGTGAAACAAGGGATTCATAAAAAAAACCCATTTCTTTGACCCATTCAGACCAGAGGAAATCATTCATATCCAGGTCAAACCATTATTTACATGTTTTTAAATCTATGACATGAATTCAAAGAGACCTGAAAAAATCTTAATTACACAATCCCACATGCTTCTCAGTCTATTTATATTTATATTTATGCTTATATTGGGTCGAATGACTCGGAAATCTTTGGAGGTAATCTCAATGGTTAATTAGATGGTGTCTAGCTTAAATACGCACGAAATGCTGATACATTATACAGAGTCTATGCATTGTTAATTATTTCTTTTGAACTTTTTGTAATTTGGATTTACGCTTTAGTATGTTATGAATCAAATATGAGAATTTAAGTGAAATCGGTGGTCAAGAATTTGACAGCTATATAAATGCCCTTTAATTCATTTTAAAATAATCATCTCTAGAATTCACATGATCATTTCGACACTTTCTGAAGGGTAGGGACATATTGAGTAGGATTACTGACAAAACATGAAAATGCTTACAGCTCTTCTATAAAAGCATGCAAAGCAAACCTTTGGTCAACTTGCTTGCTATGTTTGCAAACAATAGGTAGGAGGAGTTTCGACTGTTTTATATATACTGGGATTTGATTGGACAATAAAAATTGACATGCAATGAAGTTATGTTTATTTTCCAATCAAATTCCATTATATAGTAAACAGACTGAAACAGACTACCTACCCTTTGTTTACAAACATCCAAACAAACATAGCAAGCAAGTTGATCAAAGGTTTGCTTTGCATGCTTTTATAGAAGAGCTGTAAAATGTCTGCCATTTATGTTTAAGAGACATGTCAATATAGTAATCACTTACTGTAGAAACTGTAGAAATAAAGGTACCACATCTCTAGATTTACTTTCACATAGCTGTGGAAATAACTGCATGGTTTTCCACATCTGTATTCTAAAGTTATTATAATCTATGTCTTCTTGGACACAAAGTGTTAACTTCTGACGACTAAAAATATCTTCAATATCATCCTGTTCTAAAGAAGAGTCTGAACTATTTGAAATATTTTCTGAAATCAAAATTGGAAATAGTACCATTTTGTAAAATATTAGAATGTTTCCATTAAAATTAATACTTCTTTTCTCCCACAATGCATATTTTACCATCAATGCAACTACATTAAAATATCACTCATGAAACTCTATGTAGGTCACTATTATTAATGGCAGATCAGTGCCAATAAAACAACGACACAGTGAATTGTTTCTTAATTAGTATTATTGCTTTTGAAAAGCACTCTGGAGGAGGTTCAACTGAGACCAGAAGGATGGACAGCCCTCCTGCAAAAGTGTCCTTTTGAGCTGTTTCTGTAAAACCTGATGACTTTTTGTTACATAAATCATAAAGTTGACTGGAAAATAGGAAATCAGTTGAAAGGAGTCACATTCCTGACACTATAGTCATTTTTTTCTTCTGAGGTGTTGTTCTCATCTTTTTTTCTGAGGTGTATTTTTATTTTTGTTCTGAGGTGTCGTTTTCAAGAGATAAAAGCAGTGTTAAGCTTTGAGGAAACCTTGTAAGTTTTAAACATGTGTCTCATTCATTGTTATTTGTACTTGTTTTGGTAATAACATATGTTTACAGTAGTGTTATGCAGCTGTGTTACTGAAATATTTGCAACAGAAAATACTTAGCATGCATTAGCTTAAATGAAAGTAGCATAAATTCCTATATTATGATTATTATACCTGGCCTACAATGAGTCTTCAAATGATTTAAATATAAGTTCCAAAAATCCTCTTTATTAAGTCCTTGGGCATGGGTAGCTATCAACTTCTGTACTGGTTCCCATAAGTATTTAAAGTTTAAGAAAAGACAACCTAGAAGATATCTAAGAGGAACCTGAAAGCAGTCAACAAAGATGAAATTATTTACATGTATATTTTTATTTTAATGACTACATTATGTTGTCAGAATTATTAATAGTTTTAATGTCTAAAATTATCATCCAATATTTCACTTTATCAATTCAATATATAGAAAACTTCTCTGTAAAATTAACTAACTGAACAGAAAAAAGTTTAAGACACATCTTTTAAATATCTATTACATAATTTACCTGTGTGAAGGGTCCTATAGGGATCTGATATTGCACTGTGGTGAACTCTAACTTCTGAAGAAACATTTGTCTTTCTCTATATGTTTGAACAGACAACGATGTCTCCTCTGCTTCTAAACATATCCTGAATACTCCCATTTGGTCACTCTGAGGAAGAAATAATATAAAATATACTCTTTATAATATTGATACACATAGAAAACACTTTTGCTCTACATTATGTACTTGCTATGCTGGAAGACAAATCCTATATACATGGAGGGAAAAAATTAATATCGTGTTCATTTATCATTAAAATCAAGGTTAGTTATTTAAACAAATTAGGACAAAAATAACCATGAAAAAAGTACCTAAAAACACAAATCTTTGTGCTCTGTAATCTCCACAAGTATATATCAAAAATCTTTTTGGCAAACTGTTTAAATATCAGGCTTTTACATTTTTTCTTGTGAAATATCTTTATAAGCTTAAACTTTGTGACATTTAACCATTTTGCTATTTAATTGCAAAAATGATGTTTCCAGTATGGAACTATTTTAATTTTAATGAAATGTACTTACACTGTTCTCCACAGAAGGAAGTCTGATATCAAAATGTGTCAAAATTCGAAGTGATAACTGTCTGATCTGAAAAAAATAAGCTACCAAATGATTTTTTTTTAAATTGAAACTACCTATGATATTATTTTATGATTACTTTACAGGAAAGTGATCTATTGTGATCAATTACATTTGAATTTTTAGGTGTCATTGTAATGTAATATATTACATTAAATTAGCAAAGTAAATGTAATTCAATCAATAACTTTTAAAATAATTGACCCCACCCTTAATAATGAGATTTCTAAGTTTTCACAACAGGGTATCATCTCTTTTTGAAATTATAAATTTGAAAATAAATTCAATTTTATCTACTACTTAAAAATAAAATTGAAAAGCTTTTAACATATTTCAAATCTACATAAAATGTTGCAGAATGTCATGTATTTTGAAACTTTAACTTGCCTGAAGTTGATTGATCTTCTCAAATGACAGTAAAAAGTAAAAAACACCTTTATATAATTTCACTGTTGTCAATTTGTACATTATCTTTGACGTAACAAAAAGATATTGTTCTTTGGTATTAAAATAGTGTCTCCTTAAAAGTTATCAACTCATACAGCCTCAATTACAATCAACTCATACAGCCTCAATTACAATGCATAATTAAAGGAATAACAATGTCACATTCAGAAGGTGCCAAGATTTGTTTATTTTAGAAAATTAGAAATGAGGTTTCTGCACATCAACAACAGAATATTAAAACAAAAATTAATTACAGCCATTAAATAATGGCTGAAATAGCAAAGAGTAGAAATAAGAAAAAAAACAATATGGGTTTCACTCATTGTTGAAGGCCATACAGTGCCCTATAGTTGTTACATTCTTGTCCTTTAGATCTGTGTTGGATATTTGTTGTATTGTATCTTTATATATATATATTGATATGTGTTTTTGTGTGTTAAGGTGGTACCCAACACCTTGACTAATATTAATTTGGCTTGTTTAATTTTCATAAAATTTTGACAAAATGTTTACTTTGACCCTTTGACAAAAATATAAAAATTTCAAAAAATTTGAACCAACCACTTTATCAGAATAATTTCATTGGTTATATAGCAGTTTGACAAACACTAATTTTGATCATTGAGAAGTTTATATTTCCTTAACAATACAACGTAATTTAAACGTTTAGCTGATTTTTACAGAGTTATCTCCCTGTAGTGTTAGGAACCACCTTAATCACTTTTATCCTTCATCAAAATACCCTCATCTTTTAGTAAAGTACTACTACTAGAGGGGTGTTTAACGACCTTGACTACCCATGAGGGTCTCACAAGGTCAGATCATTATAAAGTACTGTACAATATATATACCTGTGAGTATGGAGAGGAAATATTACTCTGTAAGAAAGAATACATCTGTAACAGTCTGTCTTCTGTCAACACATCTGCCTTGTTGTCTATCACAGCTTGTGTAAAATATAAATCTGCTGCTCGTAGTATGTGGACATTATTACTGTATAAACTAAAGAATAAAACACATTTCATTAAGCGGAAATCATAAAATCAAAATATGACCTTTCAGTAATCTCAATATTGTGTTAATGTGTAAATATTTGTACAGGAATTGAACCAGTGATATGGTGCCAAGCTGGAAAATTGTCCCTTTTTTAATAAGATCCCCAAAACTCCGAAAAGACAACAGTGAATATTATAAAAAATAATTTGCAGGTCTACTTTTTTCAAACCTAAGATAACAATAAAGTTTCTTTAAGAATCTACTTAACCTAATTAATGTTACTGTATACACTAGTACACCAAAGTGTGTGTTTTGAATGGCACATACACATTCACATTTATTTTCTATATTGCAATGGATCTGGACATTTTTGTATTCTATTTATAATAATAATTATAACTTTACCTAATTTGAGCTTTTATTCTTTCCACAGGTATCCAGTCAAATATTTCTCCATCTAATTGCAGCTTTAATAAACACAAAACTACCTGATAAATAAAGTACAACTGGTCCTCTGCAATGAAAAAATATTATTATTTAACATATATTCTATTCTAGAAATAATCTATCAAAATGAAAACTTGAATGAGTTTATATGAAATATGAAAGATCCTTCCAGAAATTTCACTCTTATCTAGCCTGCAGAGTCTTATATTCGATTCAAAAAATGTTCAACAAAAAACAACTTGCTCCAAAAATGGTGTTCAAACTATACAGGCAAAAAAAGCATTAGCTTCTAACAAAAGCTAAATGCTTACCTAGAGCTTTCATTTTTTAACTAAAGATTTTATCATTTCTTTTTTTTTCTTCAAAAAACAATTTGTTAATTTTTCTCAAAATGTCAATTGGGAATTTCCAGTTTAAAACTGGATTTACATATAAAGAACACCTTGAGTTTATACCTCATGACTGGATGTCTACTACAAAAAATGTATATGAAATCCAGATTAAATAAAAATTTATTGAAATGCAAACATATCAAAATATCTATTACTCTATAGTAAGTACAACTATAGTTGAACCCTATCACATGTGGATGCATTTGTCCAAGCCAGGAACCTTAACTATGGAAAAGCCCCTAGGACTTGTTTTCTGAAGTTGTACCATTATATTTCTTCCACCAATCATGATTTTTAATGGCCACAATTATAATTTTTTTACAAAATGCAAAAATGGCATCTTCACTAGTTTCAATACTAAGACTTGTCTACCCTCCTGGTGATTATGAGCTTTGTATATTGTGTAGACACTGGTCCTGTATATTGCCCTCTTTACTTTTTTTTCTGCATTTCCTATCTTATTTTCATCTCCCACTTGTCCTATATATGCCTTCTTTAGAGCTTTTTATCCTGCAGTTCCTGTCTTAATGACATATCCTAGTTGTACTTTAATTCATATTCTAGTAACAATACGGATATCTGATATTATCGCTATTTTACGAATTGTTCCTTTGATCTTGCTGACTGTTAATTTCCTTTCTCAGCAGAGTAGAGTGATATGAAAACGGAGTTGATTGATATGAAAATTATCGCTAGAAACTAAGGGAACATGTGCCCTTGTCAAGGAAATTAACAACGTCTTCATAGGTAAAATAGCGATAAACAGATTGTCATTGGTCATCTCAACTCGATTGCTTTTCTCACTTTCGCCGTACCGGCTCAAGCAAGAAAATCAATCTCGTTGAGATAACCAACGATAATCTATAAGTATGTGATCCCTGTCTTAACAAGAAATGATTGTAACAGGATGCTGTTACGAAGTCTCCCAAACGAAGCTCCCTTAATTCGTAATTCCCAGGGTCGCCTGACATTGGACAAAGTCCAGTGAAAATTGGTTTGGTCCAGTAAAGTTATATGCATTAGTGATGCCTGGGGACTAACCCTGTATATCATTTAAATCATCTTGGCATGACAAACCAGATTATATATGGTTTAGGGGTGGGGATCTCGACCATTTACAAGATACTAGAACATTGGGGGTGGGGGGAACCCCTGGGGACTGACCCTAAACGTCATTCAAATGTTCGAGACATGACGAACAGGAATATATATGGTTTAGGGGTGGGGATCACGACCATTTACAAGATATTAGAACTTTCTCAAATGACAGGGGGTCGGGATGACCCCTGGGGACTAACCCTGTATATCATTCAAACCATCTTGGTATGACAAACCAGAATATATATGGTTTAGGGGTGGGGATCTTGACCATTAACAAGATATTAGAACTTTCTTAAATAGCAGGGGGTGGGGGTGACCCCTAGGGACTAACCCTGTATATCATTCAAACCATCTTCACATGACAAACCAGAATATACATGGTTTAGGGGTGGGGATCTTGACCACTTACAAGATATTAGAACTTTCTTTAATGGCAGGGGGTGGGGGTGACCCCTGGGGACTAACCCTGTATTTTATTTGATGTGCTTTATCATGACAAACCAGAATATATATGGTTTAGGGGTGGGGATCTCGACCATTTACAAGATATAAGAACTTTCTTAAATAGCAGGGGTGGGGGTGACCCCTAGGGACTAACCCTGTATATCATTCAAACCATCTTTGCATGACAAACCAGAATATATATGGTTTAGGGGTGGGGATCTTGACCACTTACAAGATATTAGAACTTTCTTAAATGGCATGGGGTGGGGGTGACCCCTGGGGACTAACCCTGTATTTCATTTCATGTGCTTTATCATGACAAACCAGAATATATATGGTTAAGGGGTGGGGATCTCTACCATTTACAAGATATTAGAACTTTCTCAAATGACAGGGGGTCGGGATGACCCCTGGGGACTAACCCTGTATATCATTCAAACCATCTTAGCATGACAAACCAGAATATATATGGTTTAGGGGTGGGGATCTCGATCATTTACAAGATATTAGAACTTTCTCAAATGGCAGGGGGTCAGGATGATCCCTAGGGACTAACCCTGTATATCATTCAAACCATCTTAGCATGACAAACCAGAATATATATGGTTTAGGGGTGGGGATCTTGACCACTTACAAGATATTAGAAATTTCTTAAATGGCATGGGGTGGGGGTGACCCCTGGGGACTAACCCTGTATTTCATTTCATGTGCTTTATCATGACAAACCAGAATATATATGGTTTAGGGGTGGGGATCTCAACCATTTACAAGATATTAGAACTTTCTCAAATGGCAGGGGGTCGGGGTGACCCCTGGGTACTAACCCTGTATATCATTCAAACCATCTTAGCATGACAAACCAGAATATATATGGTTTAGGGGTGGGGATCTCGACCATTTACAAGATATTAGAACTTTCTCAAATAGCAGGTGGTCGGGATGACCCCTGGGGACTAACCCTGTATATCATTCAAACCATCTTAGCATGACAAACCAGAATATATATGGTTTTGGGGTGGGGATCTTGACCACTTACAAGGTATTAGAACTTTCTTAAATGGCAGGGGGTGGGGGTAACCCCTGGGGACTAACCCTGTATTTCATTTAATGGGTTTTATCATTTAGAACATTTTCAATTAAAAAGATTGTGTCTATCACAAACGGTTTTCAAGTTATAATCATTTGAAAATTTTAAAAAATAAAATCCCATAGGGTTCTATAGTAAAACCCTCTTTTCTTTTTGCCCCTTAAAATACCCCTTTATAAACCCCATTGCACAAACAAAACCCTGATTGCACCACTAGACATGTTAGTCTAACATATTGTCAAACCCTAAGTTAATCTGACAAGTGGTTTTGGAGAACGGGTGCGGACAAGTTCAAATTTAAAAGCGGCGGAAGAGGAAGAGGAAGAAGAATAATAATAATAATAAGAACTGAGCAAAAACAATAAGTCTTCCCAAACTTCGTTTGGGAGACTTAATTATCAAAATAAAGAGATGGAAGATACCAAAGGAAAATCAAAATTCATGTAGAAGTGAGACGGACTAAAAATGAATAGCAGTGAAATGGCAACCGACAGTCTACAAAACTCTACATAGAAAAATAAAGATTGAGCAATACATACAATTACTGTAAATTCAGAAATTATTGCGAGGTTTTTATTAATGCGAATAGTGCGACTGGGTTAGTATCGCAATAATTAGAACTCGAATTCTGATATCTGATATATGCATCTGTTTGCAGAATTTCCTGAAATCGCAATAATTAATCTCGCATTATTGTCCATTCTTCATAAATTGCAATAATAAATGCACGCAATAATTTCTGAATTTACAGTATCAACTCTGGTAGTTCATAAGGAAGATATTGAGAATCATAATTAGTTTAAAACTCTTGTAACCTGTTTGCAAAAGATCAAAACAAAAAAGATTTTGGTGCATGTACCTGTTAAATTTTCTGTAGCACAACATAACTGATCTAGTTTCTTTAGTATGACCTTTATCAGCTGGTCTTTGTTAACTAGAGGCCTATAAGTAATCAGAATATTGACTTATTAAGCAAAAAAATACAGCATATATATAATTTAAAGGATTTAAATCTGAAAGATTCTGAAATGTGAAAACGGTGAGGTTAATAGCTTTTCTTAAAAACTCCAATAAAGAAGAATAAATATATAGGTAAATGACATATGGTAAAACCTCAGGAGAGGTAATTCGATAAGTGCTTTTTTGTCACATGACAGAGAAATACAGAAGTGCTAATTTAAAACTAAAATTCTTGAAAACATACAATTTCTGGGGAGAAAAAATATGATTGCAGTGATAGTGATCCATATTCAATAACTCTTTTTCTCATTTTAATTGTTTCACATTTTTTCATGTCAGGGATTTTTATAGCTGATTATACAGTATGGTTTTATCTTGTTGTTGAAGGCCATACTTTTAATAGAAAAACAAAGGATATGACATCCATGACACAAAATCAGTACATGCACAGCAAAAAACACACAAAAAGCAAAGGAACAGTGCTTTTATTGCTGTTCTTCATCTCAAAGTTTTGCCTATAATTGCTTCCATCCACTTCATTTGAACTTGGTGGATGGTTATCTCATTAACAATCCTACCAAATCTCTTTACTTTTCATATTAAGGTTTTAAATGAAAAAACATATACTGTAGGTCTTTTATGAAAAGATCTAGTTTTGCCATTGTTTTCTGACCTGATGTGAGGAAGACACACAAGAATACTCCATAATCTTGGCAATTCTGTACTACTGTCCATTAACATATTACTCAGATATTGTACAACAGAAGTCCTGAAAAAAAAATAACAAAATTCAAAGTTCAAAGTTCATATACTTGTATGGGTTTTTGTTTGTCCATTTATTTATAACTTTGAAAGAAAAAATTAGTATGAAAAAAATAATTTAATTAAAAAAAAAAATCTAGGTCAATTGTTTTAGCTTTGAATTTAAAATAAGTTTGTTTTGCTCAGTCTTTGGTTTCTATGTTGTGCTTTGAGTGCTGTTGTTTGTGTTTTCATTGTTCTCCGTGTTTTGCTATGGTATTGTCAGTTTGTTTTCGACTTATATGAGTTTGAATATCCCTTTGGAATCTTTCGCCTCTCCTCGACCATATTTCATATCATATATATAGATTCTGTGTGATATATGTTCTTTTTATAATTCAATAAAAAAAATCCATTTTATATTGTATCTGTCTTATTAATTTGGTCTTTTAAATTGATCAAAATGCTTGAAAAATGTCTGAATCATAAAGTGTTTTAATATCAAAACTTGTTTTTATATGTGGACTTTTACTACAGCACAGTTGGCTATTCAAACACAGAACTTAAAATCTCACCTGTCTTTACCATAGTCTATCATATACCCAGAATAATGTTCTAATTCAGCACCATTCTGTAATAATGGCACTTTATGCAGTACAATATGTGTCAATAGATGGAGGGTTTTGTCCCTTTCTTTTCCTTCCTTAACTACAGACTCGGTGTAAGCAATCAGAGCTGGTAACACATTCTGAAAACCAAATTGCATACCAATCATTAATGATTCAAATTAGAGTGTATCTGTCTCTAGCTTACTACACTTTATCAACCTATAGTAGGATTTTCATAGGACAGCATTTATTTTGTTTAATGTCAGTTTAAAAAAGGGAAATACAGACATACTTACTATGCAGTATGTGTTTTGCTCATTGTTGACGGCCTTATGGTGACCTATAGTTGCTAACTTCTATGTCATTTATCTCTGGTGGAGGGTTGTCTCATTGGCAATCATACCACATCATCTTATTTATATAGCTTAGTGGATTTAAGATTTACCACTATTTCAGTGGTTCACATCAAATAAACTAATGTTGTAATGTAGTGGCATGGCACTACTTACAGTTGCCTATCACTATATACATGTACCATTATTTATCATAGCAGTTTACACTGATAAGCAGTTGTATGACATCATAACTTATATGTTCAAATTGAGCATGTTCTGGTAAGGACCTTGTCTAGATTTTAACCACATTTCAGTCTAGGAAACTATACATCATGGCAGTTTATACCGATTAGCACATGTTGTTTGACATGGCAACTTGAATGTTCAAAAGGAGTATGTTTCGATCAGGGCCCAATTTGGCAATGAATATTAGGTCAGTTATTTCAAGATATCAGTTGTTTCAAGCTGACATCATAACTTATATGTTCAAATTGAGAATATTCTGGTAAGGACCTTGTCTAGATTTTAACCACATTTCAGTCTAGGAAACTATACATCATGGCAGTTTATACCGATTAGCACATGTTGTTTGACATGGCAACTTGAATGTTCAAAAGGAGTATGTTTCGATTAGGGCCCAATTTGGCCCTGAATATTAGGTCAGTTGTTTCAAGCTGATGAGTAGACATGTAAGAAAGTGAAAATGAATGAGTTTTGCTTTTCTTGATATTTACACCCAAAATAGGGCAAACATAGGATTTTGATAAAAGTTGACAAAATCATATGGCTTTTAACCACATTTCAGTCTAGGAAACATAGAACCTATTTGTTCATCACTAAATTTGATACAAATATTCTTTTCTTTTTTTTAATTTTCTTTAAACACTATCTGACCTTAAGGGCATATGATACAGTTACAATGGGCGATAATAACATTGCTATGGTAAAATGTTATTTTTCCTGATATATCGGGAAAAGATGCATTTTTCAACTGATTTTAATCATTAGCTTAAAAATGAGTTCATGGAGCCCTCTTTTTTAAAATGGCATTTGGCTTGATAATGTATGAAGATTATTTGTACCAATTTTTATGAACAAATCACTGATGTTTTTTTTAAAAATTAGATATTTATACAGCAAAATTTGCTGGTTTTTTTTTCTAAAATCATGAAAATTTAATTTAAATGAATTATTCAAAAAGAATTGATACATAAATCTATAGCATACTTATGAAAAGCAGATATTCCAAATGTTTTTACAAAAATTTGTTTGTGTTTATCTTTTAGAACAAAAAAGTTAGGTATGTCTGTCCAAAGGACAGAAAATTCCAAAAACAGAAATTTTGAGAAAATGTCTAAAATTTGGACCCGATTTATCTCTAACAGTAGAACATGAGGGTATATTTTTTATTACATATTTGAATTGACTAGGATAAAATAGTGTATGCATATTGCCATAAAAAAAGCCACAGCAGGATCAAAACTGTATCATCTGCCCTTAAGACAACACACACAGGTATTTAATATCTCTTCTAATTTGGCTTACAAATTTTTTTTTTATTGGTTATGTAAGGAGTTAATAAATGCAATAGGTGTATTGTCAGTTTTCATACAGTTTACTGAATGTACAAACCTTTTCAAAGAGAGGAAGATCTAATAATGCCTTGAAAAATGTATAAACCATTTCACATGGTACTTTCTTCTTCATCACCTGAAAACATATCACTAGTAATCACTATTTGACAAAACATAAATTCAGTATAGCCAATGACTTTCCACTAACCATGAAAGTCATCACTGAAGCAAAAAATGAGAGAATGAGAGGTTCATGTTACTCCAATCCACTTAAAAATAAGGAGCATAATTCAATGTAGGCTATGAAACAAATAGTTTATTTTAAACAATACGAAGGCAAACAAACTTTACATAAATTACAACTCTCTTTTTCAAGGATCAGAGAAAAAAGTCATGTTCTGTCTGTGTGAGTAATCAGGTATGGTTGCCTTTCTGTGATGTCACAATAGTGAAATCAAAATAAAAGGAAGAAAATTTGACATTATTGTTGCATTTTACCAATGAAGAACTGTCAGAGATCAACTTAACTACACGTTTATTAAATAAAACAAGCATTCTGAGAGTATTGCATGGCAATACATAGTCCCCTACCAGGTAAAAATTCATTATACTGAAACAAAATGCTAACTTGTCCTATAACTTGTCATGGTGTAAACAAAAAGAAAATATCAAGTCAATATCTTCAAGCATGACTAAAAACAGTGTGGAAAACTGAATATATGAGTGAATTTTTTCAAGTCCAAGGACCATAACTCTGCACAAAATTATCAGACCGAAACAAAAATTTGAACTTGATCTGTAACTTGTCATGATAAAACTATTTACCAATTGTCAATCAATATCTTCAAGCATGATGAAAAAAAAGAGTGGAAAACCTATAACACTCTAACATTAGATATGATGTAATACAATGTATATCTATTTTCAAATTACAATCAAATATAATTAATAGTTCCAAATATTTTTTCTTTCATTTGTCACAAACTAATATAGATTTGTAACTTACCTATAAAATGTCAACAACTTTTATCTACACAATGTAATGTAATGAAATATATACCTTAATAAAATAGATTATTATCTAATTAAAGGATTTCACTTACTGTGACTTGACTGTAAGTGTTGCTCTCCACCTATTGAAACTTATTCAAAATTCTGACCAAATTGCAATTTGTTTTATAAAACCAAACTGTTCAACTGGTCAGAAATTTGAACAAACTGCTTTAGAAAACAACAGTCAAGTCGTGAAACTGCAAAGTGATAAAATAAAGCATACTTACAATCCTATAAGACTTTAAATCCACTTAATTGTTATTATGAAAAATTAATCTAACAGTTTGTATAGAAATTTTATTGTTATTGTCATGCTAAAGGTGATAGTAATTTTGAATTGCTATTAAAATGTCCAAACTAAGTTTTCATACAATTTTTCTTTCGAAAAGTCTTCTATATTCATAAGAATCAGACATCATTTGAATTAAAACATCTTATATTCAGTAAAATATGTGTGAAATAACAATATGTTGTTAGGAAGTTTTCATGGGAGATAATCAATTTATCTTTCGAAAAGTCTTTTATATTCAAAAGAATAATGTTTTAGGTTATCTCCCATGGAAACGTATTAACAACGTATTGTAATTTCACATATATTTTACTGAATATAAGATGTTTTAATTCAAATGATGTCTGATTCTTATGAATATAGAAGACTTTTCGAAAGAAAAATTGTATGAAAGCTTAGTTTGGACATTTTTATAGCAATTCAAAATTACTAACTATCACCTTTAGCATGACAATAACAATAAAATTTCTATACAAACTGTTAGATTAATTTCTCATAATAACATTGAAGTTGATTTAAAGTCTTATAGGACTGTAAGTATGCTTTATTTTATCACCTTGCAGTTTCACGACTTGACTGGTTTTCTACAGCAGTTTGTTCAAATTTCTGACCAGTTGAACAGTTTGGTTTTACAAAACAAATTGCAATTTGGTCAGAATTTTGAATAAGTTGCAATAGGTGGAGAGCAATACTAACAGTCAAGTCACAGTAATAAAAATATATATATATATATATATACATGTAGCATTCAGAAAATTAGTTTATACAAAATAACATATAAACCTGCCACAAAATTCCTCAAACAATTTACCAAAGAATGTCTTTTAAAAAATGAGTTATCTCCCTTTGTACAGATTATATGGTTTAACATAGTACTCTAACATTAGTTATGGAGTTTTTTCATGGACCACAACTCTGGACTAAATCATCAGACCGGAACAAATTCGAACTTGATCTATATCTTGTCATAATAAAACTATATACCAAATATCAAATCAATATCTTCCAGAACGAAGAAAAAAAGTGTGGAAAGCTGAGTTGCTGGACTGACGGATGGACAGACGGACGGACGGACAGACAGACGGACAGAGTGCAAACCTAAAGTCCCCTTCATCTTCATCGGTAGGGGACTAAAAAATAATCAATTGTTCCAAGAAAGTATAAACCAACAAAAAGAAGAAGATGAAGAAAGTAAATAAGGACTTTTCCATACAAAAATACATGGGACCAGGAAAGGCAACTTGAATTTGCCACTATGGTTGGGTGGGAAATACTATTTTGTACATGTTAAAAATGTATGCAGATTTCTAAAATTTCTTCTATGGGTGGTTTTCAATTTTCAAAATTCCTCTCCTGGGTACCATGCATTTTTTAATGGAACAGCCCTTATAACCCTCCCCATAATACAGGTATGATTTGTCTGCAATACATCAATAGCAGTACATCTTGCAAACATTCCAATTACAACAATAATAAATGAAATGAAACCCTAAATTGTAGATAAGTAATATTGTTTAATAAAAATAATCAATCTTGTGTCCAAATAACATAAATTGGTCTCAATCTATTTTCTTTCAGAGGCAATTTATGGTGTTGAATTCAGCATATACTGTAAATTCAGAAATTATTGCGATGTTTTTATTATTGCGAAAAATGCGACAGGGTTATAATCGCAATAATTTAAACTCGCATTTTGAATTTTTTTATATGAATTAAACAGGATTTTTCTCAATATCGCAAAAATTAAAATCGCATTATAGTCTAACATGACAAAATCGCAATAATAAATGCACGCAATAATTTCTGAATTTACAGTACCATTTACTGACTGCCTAACATTTCCTATGTCTATCTTTCTTACAAAACTTTAAACCTTAAAAAGGCAACCATCAAACATAATGCTATGAGTTTTTTTTACATCCTTTAAAAAAAAATTTCTTCTAGTTTAATGAACACATGAAATTACTATAATGACATATCTATTCACTCACCTGAGATATTAATTTGACAGAATTCTCTACTAAAAGTGTAGTATGTGATACCAGTAACAAGGATGTAACTAGCTGAATTGTAGTTTCATCAATTTCTTGACCCTGAGAGGGCTCTTTCAAAATTTCTATCAATGTCTGAAATGAAAAATGTCTTTCAGTGACCTAGTGTCCAACAAAAAATTATAAGAATGAACAGAAGTATATCTCAGCTTTTAAAATGTTCATGTATATCTCCTATTAAGACAGCTATTATATTTTACTGAAATCAGCGAAGGAACTGGTATCATAGGTTATTCTAATATGACCTTCTTCTTTCACTTTGGAAACAAAGCTATGTTCTTATGCCAATAGGCTGCATGTGATTGACATCACAATTGAAATTGCAGCGCCAGTTGTATTTTAAACAACGCTGGAGGTCAAAATGGACATTTGTATTGGTGTTGCTCTCTAGGAAATTAAATAAAATCATTCTTAAAGTAAGTTTGCATGTATCTGTTCATTTTTAGTTGGCTTCATCAAAACAAAATGGCTGCCTTTCGAACATATATTATAGGTCCGATTTAAAGTACAAAAGTTCTAAATTTTCCTAATTGGATCAAAATAATTCTATCATGCCATGCTCTAAGCTCATTTTCCTTGGATAGGCATTATATTTGTCAACATTTTACACCTCACTTTCGCTCGGTATAAAGATATTGACAAATATAATGCCTACCCATTTTAAAATGAGCATTGCATGAAAGCATAATTTCTTTAATAAATTTGTATAATACATAAGAACTGTCCATAAACTACTATTCTGTTTTAAAATTTTCATTATATTTCCCTTCAAACAGTATTTCAATGCAAACCAACATTTAATCGTGAAAGTAGATCTAATTAAACAGTGCACTACACTATAAAGATTTCAAACTAAAATTATTTTGCAGACGGTACTTTACATGAAAGGTGTATAAAGCTTATCATATTTGCTACTGTATAAAGTTGCATAATACTATCTTCTATGAATGAGTTTTCCATTGGTAATGTGCACACATCTAAGTGCATACATGTTTCACTGCCTTGTAACTGCTCTATTATTCGTGTCCGCTGGCAACACATCATATAATCAAGGGAGGTGATTTATACTCACATATAAAATTTAACTCCACCATATGTTAATGTGCATGTTCATAGTCCAGAACTTAGTCAGAGGCTGCAGGTCTTTCTTTTATTTTGTTCCATTGAGGAATTTGGTGAAGAATGCTGATCCTCAGCAGCCAATGTTGAATTTTTTTTAAACTTGTCTCTACTCTTGGAGTTTAAGAGCTTGGTATATTGAATGAATCCAATTTAACCTCTTGATGTAATTGGTTATTTTGTAGGGTTTCTGTGAATTCATGTTATTTTATTCATTAATTACTAATTGACAACTTAATTTTTATTTATCAACTTTATTTTAAATAAACATATTAACCTATTAGCCACTCTCTTACCTTTGCAATTTTGTCTGGGTCAGTTACCAATAAACCAGATTTATAATTAACAATCTGATCAGCTAGTTTTAGAATCTTTGTGAGATAAGAGGTCAGTATGGTCTGTTTCTTTTTAGGAACATTGCTGCATGATGTTGAAATTGTTGTTGCACATGACTGAAAATACAAGGTAGAAGAGAATAAAATATTTTTATAAAGATGTAAAGAAAAGCAATCTAATATTTAAGTTAAGAAGCTCAGTTTTAATAGTCTAGTCAATTTAGTGAACAACCTGCAACTAATTGCAACACAAAGTTTTTCTTTGAAAAACAAGTCTGTTACTATCTATGAACAACATACTAAAACTATACAAAAATATATTTTGCGGAAAGTGGTGTAATTTATAAAAATGTTTTGTAGTAAAAGTAAGGTTATATGAGTTGCTTCCCCTTATTTGCCAAAGTTGAAAAAAATAAAATTATACCAAAAATGTTCTGTATTTTTTAAAACAGTTGAAATAATACAATACAATACATAATTATTTCAATTTAAAAGAATAATATTACAAATGAATCACTTTCCTGTCTCAAAATTTGTATATTTGAATAAAGATATAGACCGAGATTGTGTTCTGCTATTTTACAATCCAAGAATCTAATTCTCCAAAATAGTGTTGGTAAGTAACCTATAAATGGAAAACTGTACTGAATTAGAGTAACCAACTTCGTCACATTCTTACTTAGTAATTGAAAGAATTCTGCCCCTGTGTTAAAGGCACAGACAGGTTTTTTTTTGTTGGGGGAGGGGTTCCAGAAACACATGTTTTGTTCTTTATAAAAAAATGTTATTGCAAGATTCTAGGTCTATAATGAATTTTTTCTCCACAACTTTAGAAAGAAAACAATATATTTTTTTCATTTACCTTCTGGAACAAACATGTTAAGATTTAGAATCTAACAATGTTCCATAAAACTAGAGGCTCTAAAGAGCCTGTGTCGCTCACCTTGGTCTAAGTGCATATTAAACAAAGGACACAGATGGATTCATGACAAAATTGTGTTTTGGTGATGGTGATGTGTTTGTAGATCTTACTTTACTGAACATTCTTTCTACTTACTATTATCTCTATCTATAATGAACTTGGCCCGGTAGTTACAGTGGAAAATATATTGTAAAAATTTACAAAAATTTACAAAATTTATGAAAATTGTAAAAAATTGACTATAATACGCAATAACTCCTTAAGGGGTCAATTGACAATTTTGGTAATGTTTGACTTATTTGTAGATCTAACTTTGCTGTACATTATTGCTGTTTACAGTTTATCTCTATCTATAATAATATTCAAGATAATAACCAATAAAATGCTTCGCTGGGCGCAGCTTGATACGACCGCAGAGGTCGAACCCTGAACAGTTGGGGCAAGTATGGACACAACATTCAAGCTTGATACAGCTCTGAATTTGGATTGTGATTAAATATTTGACACAGCATAGGTTTCTGACACAGAAAGAATGTGGTCTAAGAACTTCAATTTTTTTAATTTACCTATTATGGTCCAATGTCCAAAATCAAAATACATGGTTAGATTCAGCATATCAAAGAACCCCATATATTCAATTTTTGTTGAAATCAAACAAAGTTTAATTTTGGACCCCAACTTGGACAAACTTGAAAACTGGTCCCATAATCAAAAATCTAAACACATGTTTAGATTCAGCATATCAAAGTACCCCAAGAATTCAATTTTTGTTAAAATCAAACTAAGTTTAATTTTGGACCCTTTGGACCTTAATGTAGACCAATTTAAAAAACGGGACCCAAAATTAAAAATCTAAAAACACGGTTAGATTTGGCATATCAAAGAACCCCAATAATTCAATTTTTGATGAAATCAAACAAAGTTTAATTTTGGACCCTTTTGACCTCAATATGAACCAATTTGATAGCAGGCCCACAAAATAAAAAATCTAAATACATGGTAAGATTCAGCATATCAAAGAACCCCATATATTCAATTTTTGTTGAAATCAAACAAAGTTTAATTTTGGACCCCAATTTGGACCAACTTGAAAACTGGACCAAAAATCTAAAATCTAAATACATGTTTAGATTCAGCATATCAAAGAACCCCATATATTCAATTTTTGTTGAAATCAAACAAAGTTTAATTTTGGACCCCAACTTGGACAAACTTGAAAACTGGTCCCATAATCAAAAATCTAAACACATGTTTAGATTCAGCATATCAAAGAACCCCAAAAATTCAATTTTTGTTAAAATCAAACTAAGTTTAATTTTGGACCCTTTGGACCTTAATGTAGTACAATTTAAAAAAAAGGGACCCAAAATTAAAAATCTAAATACACGGTTAGATTTGGCATATCAAAGAACCCCAATAATTAAATTTTTGATGAAATCAAACAAAGTTTAATTTTGGACCCTTTTGACCTCAATATGAACCAATTTGATAGCGGGTCCACAAATAAAAAATCTAAATACATGGTTAGATTCAGCATATCAAAGAACCCCAAGAATTCAATTTTTGATGAAATCAAACAAAGTTTAATTTTGGACCCTTTTGACCTCAATGTGGACAAAGTTGATAACGGGGCCCAAAAATCAAAAATCTAAATACATGGTTAGATTCAGCATATCAAAGAACCCCATATATTCAATTTTTGTTGAAATCAAACAAAGTTTAATTTTGGACCCCGATTTGGACCAACTTGAAAACTGGGCCCATAATCAAAAATCGAAATACATGTTTAGATTCAGCATATCAAAGTACCCTAAAAATTCAATTTTTGTTAAAATCAAACTAAGTTTAATTTTGGACCCTTTTGACCTTAATGTAGACCAATTTGAAAACGGAACCAAAAATTAAGAATCTAAATACACGGTTAGATTCGGCATATCAAAGAACCCCAATAATTCAATTTTTGATGAAATCAAACAAAGTTAAATTTTGGACCCTTTGGACCTCAATGTGGACCAATTTAAAAACGGGGCCCAAAATCCAAAAACTTAATACACGGTTAGATTCAGCATATTAAAGAACCCCAAGAATTCAAGAATAAAACCCCATTGAAATTGATCAAGAAATAAGCAATTTATACGAAGTATCTTCTTTTGCACAATACTGTGCAATTGAATATTTCTTGCTATTGTGCAATACTGTACAATTGACAATTTCTTGCTATTGCGCAATATTGTGCTATTGGATATTTCTTGCTATTGTGCAATACTGTGCAATTGAAGATTTCTTGCTATTGCGCAATACTGTGCAATTGAAGATTCCTTGCAATTGTGCAATACTGTGCAATTGAAAATTTCTTGCTATTGCACAATACTTATTATATAATAATTTACACATCCTGTTTAATGTGTATCTCCTACCATATCATTATTATTTGCTTTTAAATATTAATCAGAAATAACCAACTTAAAATGGAAAATTTTAAAAGAAAAAAAAAAGGAAAAAAAGAAAAAAAAAGAAAAAAAAAATCCCCCCCCCCAAAATTTTTTGAACCCCCTTATGATTCATCACCCCCAAACTCAATCCCAGCCTTCCCTTTGTGGTATGGTACCTTGAAGTACAATTTCAGAGAGATCCATACACTTGAACACAAGTTATTGTCTGGAAACTAGAAAAATGCTTATTTTTGGCCCCTTTTTGGCCCCCAATTCCTATACGTTTCGGGCAATTACCCCCAAACTCAATTCCAGCTTTCCCTTTGTGATATGGAACCTTGTAGTACAATTTCAGAAATATCCAAACACTTACACACAAGTTATTGTCATGAAATTAGAAAAATGCTTGTTTTTTGCCCCTTTTTTGGCCCCTAATTCCTAAAATTTTGAGGCAATTACCCCCAAAATCAATTACAGCCTTCCCTTTGTGATATGGAACCTTGTGGTACAATGTCAGAGAGATCCATACACTTACACACAAGTTATTGTCTGGAAGTTACAAAAATGCTTATTTTTGGCCCCTTTTTGGCCCCTAATTCCTTAACTGTTGGTACCATAACCCCCAAAATCAATCCCCACCTTCCTTTCTTGGTATTGAACCTTATGGTAAAATTTCATGGAGATCCATTCACTTAAACTAAAGTTACAGTGCGAAAACCAATGTGTCTTCGGACGACGCCGGACGACGCCAACGTCATACCAATATACGACCAAAAAATTTTCAATTTTTGCGGGGTCGTATAAAAACGGCAAAATTTTCTTAAAATTACCAATTCAGGGGCAGCAACCCAACAACGAGTTGCCTGATTGGTCTGAAAATTTCAGGGCAAATAGATCTTGACCTAATGAACAATTTTATCCTCATCAGATTTGCTCTAAATGCTTTGGTTTCAGAGATATGAGCCAAAAACTGCATTTTACCCTATGTATTATTTCTTAGCCATGTCGGCCATCTTGGTTCGCGGGCGGGGTCATCGGACACATTTTTTAAACTAGATACCCTAATGATGATTGGGGACAAGTTTGGTTAAATTTGTCTTAGTAGTTTCAGAGGAGAAGATTTTTGTAAAGGATTACAAAAATTTACGAAAAATGGTTAAAAACTGACTATAAAGGGCAATAATTCCTTAAGGGGTCAACTGACCATTTTGGTCAAGTTGACTTATTTGTAGATCTTACTTTGCTGAACATTATTGCTGTTTACAGTTTATCTCTATCTATAATAATATTCAAGATAATAACCAAAAACGGCAAAATTTCCTTAAAATTACCAATTCAGGGGCAGCAACCCAACAACGGGTTGTCCGATTCATCTGAAAATTTCAGGGCAGATAGATCTTGACCTAATAAACAATTTTACCCTCTGTCAGATTTGCTCTAAATGCTTTGGTTTCAGAGATATAAGCCAAATTCTACATTTTACCCCTATGTTCTATTTTTAGCCATGGCGGCCATCTTGGTTGGTTGGCCGGGTCACCGGACACATTTTTTAAACTAGATACCCCAATGATGATTGTGGCCAAGTTTGGTCAAATTTGGCCCAGTAGTTTCAGAGGAGAAGATTTTTGTAAAAGTTTACGGACAACGGACGCAAAGTGATGAGAAAAGCTCACTTGACCTTTCAGGTCAGGTGAGCTAAAAAATAAGAATGATGAGTGTTAAATGATTTTATGTTCAATATTTTTTCACAAATGAAAATTTCA